CTATTTGCTAAATCAATCAAGATAGGGGTTTAGGCCTGACTTCTAGTTCCATTTCTACCACGAACTTTCCTTGTCAATGTACTGAAGTTAGACTTAGTGTAAAGTCTGGGCAGTCAGTCACAGAATGGAAAATGGCTGCATTTTTGTTGGCCTGTTCCTTTTGATTATTCTTATTAAATATCCCAAGCATATAAAAAAATGTAAAGAATAATATCCCAGACTCTCATGTACTGCTCCTACAGCTTAACAGTAAAACATTATAGACCCACTGGAAGTTGCTTGTGCATTCTTGCTCCCTTCCCATTTAATCTCATAGAAATGTCTCGCATACCTCCCTCTGTATCGGAATCATTAGTTACGAAACTTACCCTGTTTTGAGCTAGGAGCAACACACAACCATTACGTACAGAGTAACTTGGGGAGCCCTCTATTCTAGAGTGAGGCTTTTCTATTTGGGATTCAACTCAGTTTTGCCTCCAACCCCAAACTTGGAGTAAACGTGGGAAAATAGGAGTAGTCAGGGAGTCCCAAGTATGAGTGTGAAGGCTGCACAGAGCATGACTGCATCACAAATGCCAATTTCCTTACTTCATTCAGTCTTCTTTCATTCATTCATTCATTCATTCATTCATTCATTCCACAAAGATTCACTGAGTGCCTATTTTGTGCCAGGCATTGTGCTAGCCACTGAGATAAGGCAGTAACAAGGCAGTCCGAAGTCCATGCCTGCCGAGCTTAGTGGTGCGTTGGGGTGGGGGCGGGGTGGGGGGGGAGGAAGAGACAAGATAAGCTCTATAGGAAGTTAGAGCTTGATAAGTGCACATGAGGTGAGGGGGAGAGCAGGTTTGGCATAAGTGCAAATGGAAAAAAAAAAAAAGGAAGTTTGGGGAATGAAGTAATGCAGGGGAGTTACGATTTTAGATAGGGTAGTCCCTGACTCCCAAGGCCTCACTGTGAAGGTGCCTTTGAGCAAAGACCCAAAGGAGATGCAGGAGGGGGTGAATAATGAACTGTCCAGCAGAGGGAACAGGCTGTGCAAAGGCCTTGAGGCAGCAGCATGCTTGGCATGTTTCAGGCCTAGCAAGGAGGCCAGCAGATTGAGCAAGGGTCAGGGGAGAGGAGTGGTAGGTGAGGTCAGAAGGGTAACTGTGTGAGTGCACGTGCCTTCTGACCACTGTACGTAAGGAAGAAGGCCTCTCCTTTGGGTGAGATGGAACCATGGGAGGATTCGGAAGAGAGGGCAAGCTCTGTCTCAGATTTTTAACATGATCATATGGCTGCAGTGTTGAGAACAAACCATAGGAGGACAAGAGTGAAAATATTTGGTTGTCAGAAATGCCACGACGCATTTTTGCAACGAAAACCAGAAAAAATACGTCACGACTTTTCCGACAACCCAATAGTATGACCAGAGGGTGATGATTGCAACAATACAGGAGAGAAGTGGTGAAGATAGGAGAGAGTGGAAAGTTATTGGATTCTGGAACTATTTTGCTGTGAAACTAACAGAATTTCCTGACACACTGGATGTTAAGAAGAAAAGGGGTCAAGGATGATCATAGGGCGTTGGGCCAGTTGGTCCTGGGCACCCATACAGGTGCAATGGCGGCAGTGGTTGCTGGAGCTGCGGCAAGGCGTCCACGTCCACAGCCCTGCCTGGAGGAAGTACCCTGATCCAGCTGTGTCCCAGCTGCACACGTCCCTACTGTGGTCCTGGGGCCACTCTGTATGCCCCCAGCCACCCACCCTGACACAATGCAGGTTCATGGCACATGTCACCATGCAGGTGGCAAGTTCTCAATGCATTTATGGTGAACCCCTCTCTTCACAGAACCATAAGACCATTTGTGTTTGAAGGAACCTTGAAGATCATCTATGTGGGACTGTTGATTGTCAAAAACAGGTAAGCTCTCCAAAACTAAGGAAAAAGAGTATTGATCAAAGGCCTAGGAACAGGCTAAAAATGCAAAGCTGTCAGGATAGGCAGCTCTTTGCTCTGCTGTTCTCATGGCCTCTCCACTGTCTCGGCATACCTACTCCATTTGCTTTCTGTGGCCTCTAGTTCAAATTTCTGAGGGAACTAGGGTGACTGGCTTAATGACCATGGCCCATTTGGGCTCCAGGCCACTTTGAGGGTACAGGCAGTCTTTGGCTGTGGTGGCCTTAGCCAAGAGCCCAGCCCTGGTCCCACTCATAACCATCCTTGACCAAAGAATGGCCTCACTGTCTCCTGAAGGAAGACCCAAGTTTCAGGGTCCTGTAACTGACTCAACCAATACATCCTTCATTGATAGAGGAGAAACCAAAAACCAGAGACTCAAGGGATTTGACGGATGTTACCGAGCGCATAGAGAATGGAGAACAAGAGCCCAGGCTTGCCAAGTCCCTGTACTATCAAAACACCATGCCTTGTTTCGGATGGTTCTCCTCCCGGGCATCCACACGCCTTCTATCACTGGGAAGAGCTTAATGCATTTTTTTAGTATGTAAACCCATGGCAGATGTATTATCCTGAGAAATAAAAGAACTGGAGGAAAATCACACGAGAATGAAGTGCTCAATTTTAAAGGTTGGCAAACCTGTAAAGGGCTTATCTTCAAATATTTCAGGCTTTGTGGGCCATATGATCTCCGTGGCAACTGCTCAACTGTCACTGTAGTAGAAAAGCAGCCACAGACCATGTGTAAATGAATGGGTGTGGCGTTGTTCCAATAAAACTTTATTTACAAAAACAAGGCTGTGGCTTGCTGTTCCCCTTATCTGAAAGTTATGAAACAGTTTAAATAGTGTATCTGAAGTATTAGGGAAAGAGTAGAAATTAAATAGTGGTATCCTTTTTCTTGGCCCTTATTGTTTGAGTATTTGTCAAGTAGCAACATAGATCTTTCTTACCTTCCTCATTACAAATGTTATATATAATATTTGCCAAAAACTTACCATTTGCCTTACAGCACTGGTTTTGGGAAGCGGAAAGCAAGGAAAAAGAACAATGACAGGGGTGATGACCTCTAACATTTCTCCTACAACTGAGAAACCAGTAGTACTTTTCAAACTTTTCTCATTCCTCCTTAGCCAGAGCTAACAAAATTAACTACTTAAATTTCAATTCATTATCCCCTTCCCAAGACAAGTGTTTGCAAAGCAATTGGAAGTGCTCTGACTCAGGCAAACAAAGAGAAAGCTGGAAAGCAAAGAGAACCTGGGGAATCTGTGCACACCTCAACAGGTATCACTTTTACTAAGTCCCTCTTCGCCTAGTAAGAGTGCAACCAACACCATCTCAAATCAGAGTCCCAGCACAGGAAGGCTGGGGCTACCTGTTCCCTTGGGATAATTCAAGGCCATGGCCAAGCCTGGTGTTTCTGAGATGAAGCACTCACTCCTTCCACAGAAAACTATACACCAGGTCCCACCATAGCTCACTGATTCGCAATTGCATTTGGTTCCTCAGCAACTGGATAAAGAACACCACGCCTAGCTGAGTGCTCCAAATGTCATACAACTCAGTATTTTCCTTGTTCTAACTCTGAGTCCAGGCTGAAACCTTGGATACAGGTAGTGAGGTTATAGCCATGCAGTTATCTGACCCACTTCTGCAAGAGTTAACGTCTCTTTACTTGTGATAGGGTTGCCAAATAATTACTCGAAGTGTCAAAAAATGAGAGGGATGGGATGGAGAGAAATACAGGGATTGAGACTGTGTGGATTGAGACTGTGTCCAGAATTGACACATCTCCCATTTTTGCACTGTGGGAGCGCCAGTGGAGCATCCTAGTGGCCCTGTGACCACAAGGCTACCATTAATTCCTATTCTGTAATAAGCCAGGGGTCATAGTTCATATATGTCAGAAGAATACAAGACCAGAAGAACCCAAGCGAAGCTAAAATAGTAACCGAATTGCTAAGATAATTTACAAAGGTCAAATGACTGAACTATTTAACATGTGATCTGAAGGTCTTTTGATGGTGTGCTCTGAAATGAAATACCTACAGGTATGGGTCCTGAGTTCTGAGATTAGACTTAGAAGCTAAGCATCATTTACAGCAAAGCCCATGGTTCAGGGTATTCTCTTCCCCCTCTTCCCATTGAAAAAAATTATTAATATTACATGTTAGCCTTCGACTGTTTTCAGGTGCCATGCACACCCTCTTCTGGTCAATGAGATGAAAAAATGGAACACCGTTAGGAAAGGAATTTTATCAGAAGTTGTACAAACTTTGGTCGTCCCGCCCCGCCCCCAAAATATATTCTGATACAACTGAAAGGCATCCTGCCTTTCTCTTTGCGATCATCAAAAATTCATTTCATTATGAAAATTAGTAATCCTATTTTCTAACAGATTAGCTTATTCTTTTCAGATTCCCTACGTTTCAATGTGACATGGTGACAAGGTCTTGGACTACTCTAGGGAAAGAGTGATGAGGCGAGGCTTGGTAAGTGCAGTCTCTGCGGTAATCAGTTCCGCCCTGGCACATTTCACATTCCGGAAGACACCTGAGGAAGTAGAGGAAAGCGTTTTGCATACGCTGAGGATTTTGTGCCAAGACACGACAAAGCACAGTAACAGCACGGACCTTGCCATGGGACTGCCATTTACCAGCTGTGGGACCTTGGCAAGTTACTTAACATCCCCATGTCTGTTCCATCATCTAAAAAGTGAGAAACAGTATTTCCTCAAAGGGCTGTTGTGAGAATTAAATGAGTTAATGTTGGGAAAAGGCTTAGAACAATACTTGGCAGAGTAACTAGCACAAACGGAAGCCATAGGCGCTTTCTCCTAACACGAGGACTGTTTCTGGCTAGCTGCCTAGGCCCAGGCCACTCATCACACCAACCGTCCCAAATGGATTTTTGCTGGTAACTCCTTCCTGCAGATTTCACCTTCTCTGGCAAGCCCATGAGAACACTAAGCAATGCCACAAGCTGGACTGTTTCTCTCTATCCTACAGGCTGGGCAAGTCATGAATTCCTTAGGCCCCTATTCCAAAATGATAGACTACATTTCAATAATCATTTTATTAGTTACAGAAGGATCTTCACTAGTATTTACATAGTGCAAAAAAAGCTGTTATTACTCCTAAAATGTGATATAACAATTATCCTTCATACAGCAAAAGAACTAACAAGGTGAAAATCCCTTCATGTTATAATTTGTACTATTTTTTCTAGTTTTTTTATTAGAGCATTACAATTAAGACATTAAATTATATATTTATGTGATATATTTAGAAATTAAATTACAAAATAACACGTACTTTTAAGGAGTGATGTGCCAACAAAGTTTACATTTTTATGATTAATTAGGATTCTGATAGCCAATCAGGCAAACAGTTTGGTTGATTCTGTGATTTCTGTAAAGGTTGGAAGGGGCACAAGAGAAGGAAGATGTCTATAAATAAATTATTTCACAGAAAAAATTTTAAATCAAAAAAAGAAAGTTTTTAAATGGATAAGTTAATGTTCTAACCTGTTGGCACAACATACAGAAAATACTTAATGAAAGGTGTTTTTTTTAAAGCAAACAGCAGCTTTACCAACAGAAATACTTCTTTATACATATATTAAAGGAACGATGTGTTAAGATTCAACAGCTTTATGTTAAAGAGCTGAAAAATAAGTGCAGAATTCACTACTCATTTGCACATTACAATTATCACCCCTCCTCCCACCTCCCCCGGCTTATTAAGAAATCAGACAAGTACATTATTTGGATATTAATTTCTCCATATTTAAACTATGTGAATTCCTTTTGACTAATTCTTTTCCAAATACTGGAAGCATATAAAATACCATCTCAGCAAAAATGACCTCCAGTCAAGGCCTCTAAAAACTTTTCAATGTGTATCAGATTCTTTTCCCATGTTTAGTCAAAAGAAATATATTACATCATTTACAAACATATTTAAGCCAAAAATTAATATGAACATTTGTCTTTTGAGAAGTAATCTTCACAGCAAACGAACCTACTAAAGCAGAAATCTAGGTTTGGGAGTGCAATTCATACTGTAATTCATACACTTATGTATTGAATAGAAATCTAATATTAATTATTGCCAGTAAAACCTCTACATACTAGAAAAAAAATCACTATGGTTTTATTTCTTGTGATGACAAACCAATACTCTCACCATTAGATCTCTCTCCAGGTTTCCCAAGAGCCACTCACCCAAGATCCAAAAAAAAAATATCCACTTCCTCTTCCCTAATTTTCACACCTTCTCCTGTATATAATATACACAAATTCCAGAATTTATTTAAAGGAAACAAATTATAAAGACATTATTCACACTTGAAGATACTTTCAATATAGTAGCATTTCCTTTAATAAATTTTGGGGTGTCCTCTAGAGGTGACCTGTCTCATATAAAAAAGGCTGTGGTCCCTTCCGTTTGCTGGCAGAAGATGCTGCACATGCAAGAGAATTTATCGAACACATAATTGAATACTTCTAAAGTCTATAGCAAAAGGAGAAGTTACTGGTGTTTGCAAGGTTTCCTCAACTTCTCTTTTAATACAAATGTCAAAAATCTAAAATGACAATTCTTATTCAGAAGAGATATAAAATATACGAAATCTTTGAAAAGCCATTACCTCAATCAAGATCAAGAGTCGCTGAATCACTGACACCGAGCGAAGGAAATTTACACCATTAAAAAGTATGAAAAGCTTTTAAATTCACTTTCAAGATTGTCAGTAGTTCAAAAACTCTATCATTTCTTCAAATCAGCTGACACTTCCAAATGTGTAGATGGTAAGATCTGCCACATATAAATCCACGATTACAATGTCAGGGGCTTCATTCCTTACATGCTGTGTTCCTGTAAGTACTGGATACTTGGTGACTAAATCAGGCTAGACAGGACCGTACAATGACATCCCCTTTTAGCACACTAAGAGAGTGGACAGACTGACATTTTCTACACAGCAATGCTCCTAAGCTCTCACAATTCACAAATTCTAAACCATCAACCAAGAATTTGATCTCTCCAGTAATTAAATACCAACATTAGAAAACATCAAAACTAGCACAGTAGTCCCAATGAGTTCAGCAAAGAATCTGTCCAATTCTTCCCGCCTGCCTCAGTGAGGCAAAGCCTGACCCATAAAACCTGGGCAGGGAAAATACCCCTCCCTCCTCGGTTCAGTGCCTGCTTATGGGAGCTTGTAAGTGTAAAGCTGGGTGTACGTGTGTGTGCGTGCGCGCACATGCGTGTGTGTTGGTCAGTTAGAGGGAAGCAGAATAATAGGTAGTTTGTAATTCTGTCATCATTATACACACTTGTAAAGGTCACCCACTACCAGGTGGTGACTGACTAGCAAATAAAACATTTAGCTCAGTAAGTTTAATTTCTCCCAAGCAGGTATACACATTCCTAGAGAAGGGTAGAGATAAATAATAGTGACCAAGAATTAATACCTGTGTATATCTGCATACGCTAAATCATCTAATAGTTTCAGCACAATTAGAACAACTTTCTCTTTTCTTCAAAACTTCCTCTTCCAGGCCTTGACCACCAAGATACACGATGTAAGTTGTGTCAAGTTCCTTTCCCTGACCTCCTATCAGTAACTATGGTTAGTGTTACACAGCAAGAGCTTGAGGCTAGGGGCAAAATATATATATTTTTAAAAGGTGAAATGGTTGTTCACTCAGGGTAAGTGCGGACTGCCTAACAAATCCATATCTCAAATTCAGAGGGTCCTGAATCAGAAGCATGCAAGAGAACACATCGGTATAACTTTGTTTCTTGATAGCTTACATGTAAGTGCTGCAGTCATACAATCAGTTACAGTTATTTAATGTCAAATTTTGCCTAACTTTATGTAAATATGACTATGTACAAAAGCATTCCTGAGGTAAGAAGCAAATAGGAGACAGAACCTGAAGGTCCTATCATGGGTGACTTTGCACTATTGAAGACAATATTTATCACTTTCTACAAATAAGGCCAGCTCTAATCTATCATGGTGGCTCCTTTGCCACCCTAAGTATCAGAGGCTCTGTTTTTACTCATCCCAAGTTTTGTCGATTACAATGATTAGTGACTTCTGAAACAAGCATTTATGGACCAAATAAAAGTTGCATCAATTTTTAACACAAAACACTTTGTAGACTGTTAAGCTGGGCCTTTTTTTTTTAGCTTTCTAACTCTACCGCCAGTTCTTTTTTGAAGAAGCCCAAACAACTTTTTGGCCAGACACATTAGTGAAGGGAGCGGTCTTGAAGCAAACATGGATTACCGCTCCTCTCCTTAGAACCTTGATCTTCAACTTTCAAAATGACTTTAAATAGGTATGTTAGATTTATTGCCTTTGAAACGTGGTCTTGTTCTTTTCTTAATCATTATTTTCCGTAACAAGCTGAAACAATTCTATATTTTCCACACAGTTCTTAGAAAGACACTTCAATGCTAATTAAAAGCTAAGCTATAGATCATAACAAAACAAGTAAAAGACAGCTACAAAAATGTTGTCAGGGATGAAACGCATGTATTAAATACTGGACAGTGCAAAATGTTGATATAAAGCGTAAGAGATCATGGCTGTAACCCTTACACAGCTGGAGACAGAAAGCTGGCATTTCCTGAGTTAAAGATTTGGGGGCGAATGATTGGAATCGGAGTGCTCGTTGTGCAGAGAGCTGCACTTGCTGGGCTTCTGCGGCCCCAGGCCTGCTTGGTGGTCAGCAGTCCAGGCCTCACTGTCCATCCCTGGCTCCAGCACCTCGGGCACCTCTGCTTCCTCTTCCCCACTCTGCTCTGCATTGTCTTCCTCGGAACCATTGAGGGTTTTCCCAAGCTGAAGAGTTTCCATGGTTCTCTGGGTCTCAGAGACCCAAGACTCAATTCTACTATTGAGCTGTACTTCTACAGATATGGGTTCGTGAGTATAGTCTTCCTCCTCCTCCTCATCTTCATCATCCTCTTCTTCAAGCATGCCAGGAACAAGCGTGCTGGTCGTGCTAGTGATGGAGGAATTCAAAAGATCTCGGCAACTGCCATCCAAAGAGCCGGTCTCGGTGCTCTGCTGTGAGGCCCACTCCAGGTCGTCTGGCTTCACTTCCTCTTTATCACTCACGGGTTTCCCAGGGTTTGTAGCTGAGGTAGTGCTGCCTGCGGCCACTAATGATGGCTGCTTATCGGCAGGGGCGGTGTCACATGGAAGTTTACTGGGTTTTTCAGACGTGCTGTGTTTATAGGAAACCTCTCTCTCATTTTCTGATGTTTCCAGGCCATCTGAAGTTTCTACCATGCTTCTCCAATTTGTTTCTGCAAATATCAAACAGATTTTTAAAAAACCAGAACACTGTTTCAAAATCATGCAACTCATACAAGAGGGAAAAACAAACAAAAGAAATTTGTTGGCTCACCAACTGACTGGAAAACTAAAAACTTAGATGATTCCAGTACAAGTTTAAATGTTATAAAGGAAAAACAATTCTCAAACATGTGCATTAAAAATAAAAAACGAGGCAGAAGTAAGTCTATCAGTGCTTGAGAATGCATATGGCCTTATGCCAATAGGAGTTCACTGACTCTCAAGATATAAAATCCATATACTCATGAAAATGAACTTTCTGCCTTTTTTTTTTTTTTTTGCTTTGAGGTGTACTGGGCTCAAGGACCCACAAGTCACAGACGGCAGGGCCAAGGTGTCCAGCAGAAACAGTTCTGATTTGACAGGTTTGTAGGCCGTGCTCCCTCAGCCAGTTAGCTAAGAGCTATCTGTTGGTCTATGAACAGGACTCATGTTTCCATTCACAAGCAAGAAAGCTGTCCACGCACTTCTAACATTTGTGAAAATTTGTTTTATGTTAACAATATGTGGCTTGCCTTACCAAGTGACTTCGAGAGCCAAAAAAAGTGTTATTCTATATAATACAGTGATGATAGTTTAAATTATTTTAAATGACACTAAGTCAGTTTAGAGCTAAACTGATGTTTAGAGCTCTTCTGATGCACTAGGAATCACGAGACAAGACAGCTCTCCACCTCTGTATTTTTCCCGCCGTTTTATTATTTTATGTTTTATTAAGTACAATTGACATAAAATTATATTAGTTTCAGGTGTACAACATGATTTCTATTTGTATGGACTGTGAGATGATCACCACAAAAAGTCTAGTTAACATTGTTGGTATAAAATTTTTTTTCTTGTGATGAGAGCTTTTGAGATCTCTCTTAGCAACTTTCAAATATGCCATACAGTACTTTTAATTACAGTCACCATGCTATAAATTATATACCCATGAGTTATTTATTTTATAACTGGAAGTTTGTGCTCATTGACCTTCTTTACACATTTTGCCCAACTCCTGCCAATCTGTTCTTTGTACCTATGAGCTTGGTGTTTTGTTAAGATTCCACACATAAGTGAGATCATACAGTATCTGTCTTTCTCTGTCTGACTTATTTCACTTAGCATAATGCCCTCAAGGTCCATCCATATTGTAAATGGTAAGGCTTCGTTCTTTTTTATGGCTGAGTAATATTCCATTGTACATGTAAATATACCACATCTTCTTTATCCAGTCATCCATTGAGGGTGTTCCCATATCTTGGCTACTGTAAATAATGCTGCGGTGAACATGGGGGTACATATATCTTTTTGAGTTGATGTTTTGTTTTCTTTAGATAAATACCCAGAAATGGAATTGCTGGATACGATAGTTTTATTTTTAATTTTTTTGAGACCACCATACTGTTTTCCATAGTGGCTGCACCAATTTACGTTCCCACCAAAGGCGCACAAAGGTTCCCTTTACTCCACATCCTCGCCAACATTTGTTATTTTCTGTCTTTTTGATACTAGCCATTCTAACAGGTGTGAGGTGATATCTCACTGTGGTTTTGATCTGCATTTCCCTGATGATTAATGATGTTGAACATCTTTTCATGTACCTGTTGGACATCTGTATATCTGGAAAAATGTCTATTCAGACCCTCTTTCCATTTTTAAATTGAATTGTTTGTTGTTTTTTTTGCTATTGAGTTGTATGAGCTCTTTATAATTTTTGGATATAAACCTCTTATTGGATATATGATTTGCAAATATTGTCTCCCATTCAGCGGGTTGCTTTTTCATTTTATTGATGGTTTCCTTTGTTGTGCAGAAGGTTTTTAGTTTTATATAGTCTCATTTGTTTATTTTTTTTAAAGAAAAATATACTTCTCTTTGTATTATAGCTGCTATTACATTTTACAGGTATAATGATCAAGTTGTAGTGATAAAGCAAGTTTATTAATATTAGTATATTCTACTTAATTGTCACCTGTCAACAATACATTAATACAGACCATATTTGGGGTAAAGTCAGAGCACATGGTTTGGAAAAAATCCTTTCTTTCTTGCAGCTACTCTAAGTGTAGAGCAGGTCCTTTCCACTACCTTGTGGGAAAAAAGAATCTATTCCTCCTCCTTCATTCTCATTCTCAGCAACATTATCTTTTTCACAGTCTCAAAACAGAAGAAACCTTACAGTAATCCTCGATCCTATCTTTCTTCCTTACTCTATCCCTTCATTCCACTGAACTCATAGCTGTACCTTGTCACCTCTAACTCAAAAACTACTAAATCTGGTCACTGCCGCCTTAGCTCAAGCCTTCTTTATCTTGCTGCACCTCTATAATATTTTCCTAATTGCTTTTAGTGAATTGATCACATCACTGTCGAATGGGCTTTCTATGACCCTAGTAATCCAAACTCCTTAGCCTGCTGTACCTAAGCCCTTCACGATCTGACCCTTTCTATCTTTCTGGTCCCATTCATTCTGACCCCCAGCCATGTAGTCCATGCTCAGGGTCACACTGAATTCTCATGGCTCCCAGAGGTCATACCCTTTCTGTTTATAAGTCCTTGCTTTACCTAGGTGTTCTTTCTGGGAGGCGTGTTTTCCTCCTTACCTTTCAGAACTCTTACTCATCCTTGATAAGCATTAAATGTCAGTTCCTCTGGGAAGCCTCTCCTGACTTTCCTGAGAGGGACAGTCATTAACCTGAAACCCACAGCACTTTTTGCATATACAGTTCGAAACACTTGCTTTGTGTGTGCCATTCCACCCTGTCCTCCCTCCTCACTCCCACGCCTGCTCATCTGTGTGTCCCTACGGTTGGTATATAGTAAGTGCCAGAGGGGAAAAAACCCTATTACATGAAAAATTTTTTCACATATAGATATTATGCAAAAAAACTTTTAAAAAAAGCATAAAAATTTTTAAACTTCAGGTGCACATTTACATTTTTTTCCTTCTTCAAAAGTACTACAAAAATTCACTTGGGGACTTGGAAAAAGTCCCACCTCATCCTCTTGACAATGAGTCAAAGAACAGGAAAAAAGAAAGAGGTCAGCAGACAGAGCCAGGCTGCCCTCTCTCCAGACTTGGTCTTGGGCACTCATCTACGTGGTAGGTGAGCTGAAAGCCAGATGGGTCCTTTGGAAAGGAAAGGGCGATATGTCCTTGGAAGCAGAGACAAGGAGCTCTGCAATCAGCCATCAAGAGTCTTGTTACAATGATCAAAGAGCTACTGAGGTCACATATCCCCAGGAGAGGGCCCAGGCTCCCACCTTAAAGTAACAGGTGAAGCTTGATCAGGAGTCGATGAGCATGCAAACACATGAACATGACAGGGAGAAACATAGCAGGTGTAAAAACGACATTTTTCTCTAGGGGACAGGAGAGATCTGACGGGCGGAGTGAGTTAGAGAGGGTGTGGGGAGTACTGAATGCAGGCAATCTACAGCCAGAATAGAACAGCTAGAAACCCACTTTTGAAAAGGGACTAGAAAGCAAGTTAAAGACAGATCTCAACAAATGGTACTGATCCAAACCTACCCTGCTTGTGAACTGTTTATGTTAGCACAACTTATTCAGTCAAGCTCTCTTTGCTTATTAACCACTTCCATGTGTTCCTGTTCTGTTTATTGGTTCTTTATGAAATTATCTTTTTAACTTTCAAGTCACTAGTGGGTTTGTCAGAGGATGAGGTATGTGTATTTCTCCCTTTAGTCAGTATATGTAAGGAAGCTGTCTGTCTCAGATAGCTGTGTACAGTACACGAAGCAAACGAGTTCAAGAGCTTGCTGACGAAGGGGTGGTGGCAGAGAACGAGCAGGAAACTCAGGGTGGATGAACCGAGGCTGTCCTCCTCTCATAACTGGTTATTGAATACGTACTAATTATGTGGTCCTACTGAGAATTCATTCCACAGACAGGAAATACACATCACAGTGGCTAAAAGTGCAGATTCCAGAGTGAGACTTAACAGCTGTGACACTGGCAAGTTATTTACCTCTCTTCATCTTATCTTCCTTATCAATATTTCTTATCTCACAGGGTTGCTCAGAGGATTAAATGCCTTAATAAATGTGAAGCGCTTGGAAAAGTGCCTAGCACCTAGTAAGAATTCAGTAACCGAGCAATTATTATTATTATTATTATTATTATTATTATTATTATTAATCAAGTACCCATTATGTGCCCAGTTCCTATTCTCAGAAACTTACAGTTTAGGTGGGATTTATGTTCAAACCTGTTGGTTTCATGTAAATATGGGTGAGAAACATAAGCAAAGAACACAGTTAAGGCACACACAAAGGACAGGAAGACTGGACTATCCCAGAAGCCTCTTTTTTACCAATGATTAGCATCCCTCTCCCAGCTTTGTTTTTTCTTTAAACGGTGGAAATCAAAAGAAAACATTTTAGAAACCTTGCACGAAGATGGCATGGAAGAGGCTGTCTGTAGTCTACCCAACAGTCATTCCCCATTTTTTCCTGGCTAACAGGACCGCTAAATTTGGGATGGATTTGAACCCAGTCCCAGGGGATGAATTAAAATCGTTCTTAGACCATCAAGGCTAACCTATGCCACTATGCCAAACAGCATCTCTTGCCCAAGTCTCCCTTGCAGGTAGCTAAATGCAGTAGTCATGTGATTGGCTCTGGTCAAATGAAACAAAAGACTTCTGAAAAATTTTTCCTTCACTGACAAAAGCAGCATAATGCCTGAACCCCCTGATTTTGACTACTGTTGTGATGCCCAGAGAGAGCCACAACAGCTACTTTTGAACATATGATGCTAAGCAAAAGACTATGAAGCCACAGGCTGAGAATGAAAGAACAGAAAGAGGGAAGAGCTAGGGACGTTAATGACACTGTGAAATAATATCCACATTTCTTAGGCCACATTAGATTTTATCTTTGTTGCTGAATGCATCCAATAGAGGTAGAATAACTTTATGCTTTGTTTTCAATGTTATTTAAGATTATTTCCACACAATTTTGTTGGTGTCCTGATAAATCAGCTCATCAGGCCAGAATCTTTACGGTTCTAAATCCCTCCTCAGGATTCAACCATTAGCTCACAGAACTTTTGTTTTGAAAGGAACCTTAGACAAAAACCTCCTCATTTTGCTCAAGAGAATCTGAGGCCCAGAAATTAATCGGTTATGCCTAAGTCACCCAGCCTATGTAGGAAAAAGCCAAAGCTTCAATCTTGAACACTTTGAATCTGGTGCTTTGTGAAAACATCTCCTAAACCTCTGAGAGACTCTTTTCATGACTTTTCATTCTATGTGCCCAAATGAAGATCACTGACTGCCCAAACCCACAGCTTTATGAATGTACCTTGCAGTTTGCCTTTGAGATTTGGCATGCCACTATATAGAGTAATCTCATTTACAAAGTTGGCACCTTACTTCTTTATTTTCAACTGGCATCACTCCAGCCAGAGACATCTGTCCCTGACCAGCAGCCTCCTCAAGGCCCACAATAACTTGACTTGGGTCCGCGGCTTTGTCAAAGGCATTCCAATATTTAATACAATCACAGACAGGAAGACCGGAAAGAGAGTGTGGGAATAAAGGAAGAAAATGACGACACAGTTTTTTACATGTTAAGTTTTAGGTGGCAACATGCTATTTGGTAAACTCCCACATAAATTAAAAGAGAAAAAAAAAAAGAGAAGAAAAAGCAAAGAGCCAAGTTGAAGGAGGTGGCTATACTATTTTAAAAACAAAAAAGAATAGGGGAACTAATTAGAAACTAGATCAAGAGAGTGGAGAACTTAAGAGATCGAAGTATTAGAGAAACAATGCAAGGAAACTACTAAGAGGCAGAGCGTAGTAAATGATGTTACTTTAAACATTACATATTGGGGGCTGGCCGAGTGGCTCAGTTGGTTAAGAGCTTGCATAAGAGTGCGAGCTCTGAGCAACAGGGTTGCTGGTTTGATTCCCACATGGGCCAGTGAGCTGCGCCAGAGCTGAGCTGCTGCTGAGCTGCCTTGGCAGGATGGCTCAGCTGGTGATAGCCCATGCTCCTAACAACAAGGCTGCCTGTTTGAGATGGTGGGCTATGCCCGACTGCAACTAAAGACTGAACTCAAGCATCTTGAGCTGAGCTGCTGAGTGGGTGGCTCAAGGGATACAGCGTGCATTCTTAACAACGAGGCTGCTGCCTAGACTCCCGCATGGGATGGTGGCTATGTCCACCCACCACTAATTGAACACAGCACCTTGAGCTGAGCGGTGCGACTGGACTTGGAGCTGAGCTTGCTGCGCCCTCCACAACTAAGATTGAATGACAACAACCTGGCTATTGCCTTTCCCCAATTCCCCAACACTGTTCCCCTCCCCCAATTCCCCAATTTAAAAAATAAAATGCATAAAATAAATAAATATTACACATAAATGCTGCTTTTAAGTCTCTATTTCTTTTTTACTACAATCAGGTTTAACTCAAGACATACGTCATATGTCTCAGATTTATAAGCTTAGAATGAATAGTATTCAGATCTTTGTTTCCTTAGTAAAATACAAAATTTTAATAATTGAGTACAAAGTATTAAAATAAAACTTCCCAGGATTTACTAAGTTATAGGTCACAAGTGCAGTGCATTTTGCTTTTTAAAAATTAGATTATTTTTTAAAGATTTTGGAAATGGGACTAAATTCCAGGGTCTCACAGAAAGCCTCAGTCCCAAATACTCTCCTAATTCTTAATGGACATGTTCAATGCAATTTTTTAAACCAAAAATTTCAGCAAAATTTGAATAATTACAAAGATAAAAACAAAAGGAAGTCATTTTCAAATGATCTTAATCACTAAAATTATTTCAAGGTTTAAGTCATTTAAAACGGTAGGTAATAACTTACCATATTCCTTTTCATTTACTTCAGAGATGGGTTCAGAAATAACACTGCAGAAAGAAATGGCACTTGCTGCAGAGGGATTCCGAGAATGGCCCATGTGGTGTGGCACCTTTTTCACGTTCTTTAAGGCTTCCTCCGCCTGCTCTTGCTCCATTGCAGCAACCATATCTTTATATGCTTTCCTGGCTTCCTCAGTGAGTTCCACTAACTGATTAAACAGGCTCTACAGAGAAATATTTTGATTAGCCCATTTTTTATTACACTTTTTATTCCTATTATTAGCAATAAATATCTCTACTATTTCAGAATTAGATAAGACTTTCAAGCAGCACAAAATCCAAATGGTATACAAACTACACACAGCACTTTATAAAATACTCTGTAACTTACATATATTGTTTATTTAATTCTCACAAGACTAAGGGAATTTCCTGATTCCATACTAGTCACTAAATGTGATACATTAATTCTTGTAGAGTTTATCAATTCAACAACTGCACCCTTTAGCATCTGGCACTGCAGTGGGTACGAAGACCACCGGAACGTCACTCTGCTCAAGGAAGCTTCTATATGGCTGGAAGGAGAAAACAAGAGGCAGCTAGGATTCAAGGCACAGGATCTTAAATGCCTTGAGATTTACAAAGTGTTTTGGCCTTTGGAGAAAATATCAAATCTAACTGCTGGGCATCAGTGAAGAATTCATGAAGAACTATGACAGTTGATACAGGCCTTCAAAAATAGGCGCAACTTTGAGAGATGGAGATAGTGCACTCTTAGCCAACCATGCAAAACCACTAATAAAGATATAGACTTAAAAAAGTACAAAGCTCGTTTGGGAAGCAGTGAAGAATCTTATATGAGTTAGAATATAAGGGAATGAATGTATGGAGGGTGATGTCCAAGCGTGTTAAAGAAGAGGGCAGTCTCCACAGAAATGACAAGTTCCCTGTAACGTTTTCTTATTGAAAAAACTTGAAGAAGGCCAAAAAGAAGTCAGTGATGGTATGGCTAGCTGGGGCCTTGAAGATGATGAAAATATGACACCTAAGATAGACAAGCCAAAGATACTGAAACAAAGGCAAACTATGAAAATAGAGGAAAGAGCCTGGAAGTAGAGCGTGGAGCTAAATAATCAGAAGTTCTTCCATCAGGGAAACAGAAATGAACATGAATGGAATTTAATTCCAGTGAAATGGTAGGTGACAGAGCATATTCATGTTAATAAAAATGGCAAAATTCATATAGCATTGAAGTTCTACTTCAATAACAATAATGTCTAATGATGTCCAAAGAAAACTGAAGATTCCACAGCCCAGGAAGGCAATTTAACAATGAATTTTAGTAGTTCTTACATCATAATTCAACAAACTTCTACTTCCGCTTAATGTCCCGATTTAGTATCAGACTGCAACATGCCCATAAAGTAAAGAATTTCAGATGGTAAACATGACCCGCACATTTGTAAAAATGTTCAATTTTACATATAAAATTATGTTTTCAGACAATGAGATTGAAAAAATACAGTGCAATTTGTTTCCTCTTACCAAGGCACTGTCATTTAAGTATAAACCATAATAAGATGAAAGCATGGCAAAAAAGTGCCATATTGCTATGAAATAGTATCTCTGAAAATTAAACTTACAAAAGACAAACATAAGTAGCAAGCTTTACCCAGTGCAATTTTAAACTGTTTAAAGTAGCAGGTACAATAAACACTGTTGCTAATCGCATTGATTTTTTTTTTACTTTTTTAAGAGGGTGGGGTGCTAACTATAATAGTCATATGAGAAATATGTTCAGGACTTATTTATTTATTTAAAAACTGGAAGGAGGATGGATTCTGTTAAAAAAACAGCCTCTATGTATTACATGTAACAGACTTCACAAATATTTGTTTGCAATGTTTAACAAACCATGCATTGAACTGAAGCCAACAAAAAGAAAATAGGCATATGGATATGTGATTTTGAGATTAACATTGGTTTTACAATATAAATAAAACAGCAATTGTTGCGAATGAAAGACTATGAAAGAGAAGAAAATAAAATTGAAGAGAGAAGCTATCAGGGAATCAAAGCCTTGAATGTCTGTGTAAGGACAGGAAGCTTAATTCAAAGGTTAGTTTTATCAGATGGTAAAATGACTCAGGCGACATTACTGTGAATGGATATACTTGATAATATATCAGTACTTCCTTTACCTCCATTTTAACAGTGTATTTTGGTTTAAACAATAACTTACCTACCTAAAAATATTAGAGGGCAAGTAAAACAATGTACACACAAAACCGGCAAGCATACAAACAACCTGATATATATAATTCAGTAGGAAGTCAACACAATTAAAAACAAACATGTCTTTTCCTGACCCTGATCCCATTCATGTTCCATAAACTCTAACTGAATAAAAAAGGAGTACAATTTTATCGAGTGTCTTCTATATGACCCTTCTTTCCCACAGAGGTTATTATCACCCAAATTTTCACATGTTGTTTAACACTGCAGGCAGGTATCTACCACAGAATCTATTAAACAAACATTTACCGCCTACTGATGCTCAAGTAACGTGCAAGGTGCCAGGGATACAAAAAGGACCTGCCCTCAAGGAATTCACAGTTAAGGGGGAAGAAACACATAAACTACAGCAAGGCTTATCTATAAGCATGGGCTACTGTGGGAGCAAAATATTAATTATATACTCATGAAGAGTAGGTAAGTAGATGGGTACGTTCACGGGCGATGGGGGAGAAACTGCATGGATAGGGGAATGAGGTATGCAAACATGATGACCGGATAGGGAAGGACAGATACTTAAAGACATAAAAATAGAATAGCTGGGAAGAGGAAAAACAGTCCATCAGTGGTGTCACAAAATACTTTAGAACCAACTTTATAAGCATCTTAAAAGTTATCAGTTGATAAGCATTACTCTAAATAAATAAGCTTATGTCATCAGCTCCTCTGGGCAAAGCTTTGGATTAGCCGACTGCAAAAGGAAGACGAAGACATCATACATGCAGAATTATTCAGACAACTGGTTTAGAATTTTATCTTCTAAAGAAAACTCCTCTCCAATTAAGATTCTTTTCTCTTGACTCTTAGTAGCACAAAATATAACCTACATATAGGCTGAAGAAAATTATTTTACATTGTATAACATTACCCAGCAATTAAATTATCAAGTACTACACAGTTGAACGCAGAAGTAAAAAAACACTGTGACAGAAATAGAAGCAAAAATCTTTTCAAAATGCTGTAGGATTAACTTATATATAAATTTAACCAACTTATGTAAAGGTTAAACACTAAAAAAGGAAATGTAATACTCAAGAATTTTCCACTCATTCTTGGAGAGTCATCATTTCACCTCTCCAAATGTTTAAGCATAACACTGGCACAGGTCAACAGAAAATGTACTATTTGGGGGTGGGGTAGGGGGAAGTGAGAGAGTGTATGTCTCCCGAAGTCTTACCTCAGCACCAGAGTAGTTGAAGATTCCCACTACACTAACGGGAACCAGCTTGTTCACACAGCGTCCCAGAGCTTTTCTTCCAAGGGCAAACACAAAAGGAATTTCTTGTTCTCGTGCCATGGCTATAACATTATAGAGAGCCTCATCCAGGCCACCTGAGAAAGTGAATCCATGCACAGGTTTTAATTTAAATAGTTATTTCCAAAATGGAGCTATTTTAGCGAAAGCATAAAACAGAAGCAAAGGATTCTGTGAACGCCACACATTTTCCTATTTGAATTTGTAGCACATATGGATATATGTACATATTTTCTTTTTCCCCAACTAAATTCCAAATTCCTTAGATGCTACTATTTTTGTCTCTCCATAGGGATTAGCACAGCAGAAGAGAAATTTCAATATATTTGTTACAAAGAAATTAATTAAAGTTGTTAATAGCGGCTGATTCCTTTATCCAATCATTTCTCAGCTCAAGTAGCAACCTGTCGCATGTAATAAGATTACACATTACTGGTTTTATTGGTGTTTCTCTCCTATGGAGACTATGCCTGCTACTGCTACTTGATGCCTCTGTCTAACCCAATCACCTTAAGTGGCTCCTTCACAGAAGCACAAGTGAGCACGCACGACACAGTGCCAAGCACTTACGTGTCAGCTCACCCGAGGTCCTCTGTACATAACTGCTGGTCTCTGAGGGACAAATCTCCCCCATAAGCAGCAGAGACCTTTACCTTTTTCCTAATTCTTTTTAAGAGAAGAGGGCCATCAAAGAAAGGCAATATAAAAATGTAAAAAACAGAATATATTTGCAGAGGTAAACAAAGCACTCCTATTAGTTCCCACTCTGATCACAACAGAAGGCACAGTTGATCTGTCCAACTGAAATCCGCCACTAGTGTTCACAAATGAGGATTTTCTTTACAATCCAATCTCAGTTTTATTACTTAATTTCAGGTACAGAAAGACTTCATTTTCTTTCCTCATGCTCTCAATATTGTTTTATACCGATATTCTGATAAAAGACTTACACTTTAAAATTCACTGTATAGCCTACAATTATACTAAATAGTAACTATCAAAACACTTCAAAAGTAAAACGTTCATACCTTTTGACTGGATTTTTTCACAATTTGGAGAAATTATAACACACTTGATCTTGTTTAACTTCATATGTTTCGTAACTTCCCGTAGGCCCATAACCAGGCGTCTCCTTGCTTTGGCTCGCGCAGGGTCCTTCTGGTAGATGCGCTCCTGGAAACTGACAAGCTCTTGAAGAAGAAGAGTCACACACTCATCAATCTCTTTACAAAGAACCTGGTTACAATACCTGCAAAGGAAACCAAAAATAAGTCAGTCCGTCCTAATTTATTTTTCTAGAATTATAAAATTACTTTAGAAAAAGACTACATGCAGTAAGGTTTTCATAAAAATAAAAAATAAAGCAAAAATCAAGTTTTTAAAATCTCTTATTCCTTCAGTCAGTTAGAAACATGGAAGAGTTTTTCTGAATTACAGCAAGCTGGCTTTTATGTAAAGGATAGGTCAGCCTCAGGGAAGTACTATCCAAACTCCCAATTATAAAATTCCTAAGGATATAAATTAGAATGTCAGCCTGCTATTAGATAAAAAAATGCTATTAGGCATAACGTTTTTGGTAAGGAGATATAGGGTTATTTCATTTCGATGAATACTGAAGATACTTCCACTACGAAGGAAATATAGCTTTGCAGATGCTAACTGAATGCCCTAATACCAACAATTCATCCTCCACGCTTGGATAAGTCACCATCCCCGGACATTGCCTTCCTCAACCATAAAGATAAGGAGTGAAGTGAGATGGCCTCAATGGTCCCTCAAACTCCAAAAATCTGTGGCTACGGAGAATGAATTCAGTAATTAAATTGAAGCCAAAACATATCATGCAAAGCATCTGAATGAGGCTCTTTGTGATATGTATACGTCTACAATACAGAAACAGAAAGGAAGTAAGTGTAAGGCCACTGTAGTTATTTCAGGAATAAGGAAGTCACCCAAGTTTACATACTCCTTGTATACTCTACTTTCCTGGTTCTCATTCCTAATCTCTACCATAAGCAGCAAGTACTTAACAAGGAGAATTGGTATAATTTCTAATCTAGGAATAACAAGGCAGCAAATTTCCACTTGTAAATTACATTATATAGTGGAAAAATCTAGGCCTGCTCTTTTTTAGTGAAAAACAACAAAAGTTCTGGTTGGGAATTTTTATGTTTATATAAAAAAATGTTAAAATAAGTATAGGGTTGTCGGAAAAGTCATGACGTATTTTGTCTATGTTTTATATAAAGAACAAAGATCAACCAATGATATACTGCCCGTTTTGTTCGATAACCTTTTGCCATCTTTCAGTGACCTTCATAATTCCTTGTTCACAGAAGGACCTGTCTTTATTTGCGAAAAACTGAACAAGGTGCTGATTTACAGCCTCATCTGAATTGAAAGTTATACCACACAAGGAGTTTTGAAGAGAGCGAAACAAGTGGAAGTCTGACGGTGCAAAGTCAGGCGAATATGGTGGGTGTGGCAACACATGCTATCCAAGCTCCAATTATTTTTGACGGCTGATCAAACTTGTGTGTGGTCTCACGTTGTCGCGATGGGACACAACTCCTTTATAATTAACAAGATCTGGACGTTTCTGGATGACGGATTTGTTCAAACTGTCCAATTGCCAACAGTACACATTCAAACTGATAGTTTGGTTCCTTGGTAGGAACTCGAAAAACACACCTTTAAAATCCCACCACACTGAGAGCATAACCTTCCTCTGATGAATGTCTGCTTTCGATGTTGTTTGAGGTGAATCATCACGTTGGGACCAAGACTGTTTGCACACCACATTGTTGTAAACGATCCACTTCTCATCACCAGTTATCAGTCGCTTCAAAAAAGGATCGTTTTCCTCACGTCTATTGAGCATATTGCAGATGTTTATAGGCGCCATCAAATGAACTTCCTTGAGTTCATGTGGAACCCAAGTAAGGAGCTTGCTTACGTATCCCAGTTTTTTCAGGTGGTTGTGAATGCTTGAATGATGATGTTCAACGTTTCTGCAATCTCTCGTGTCGTGTAACGTGAGTTTGACTCGATCAATGCCTTTATTTTGTCATCATCAACCTCGGTGGGCCTCCATGACCGAGAAGCATCGTTGAGATAAAAATCACCAGCACAGAATTTCATGAACCATCGTTGGCACTGAAGTTCTTGTAGAGCATTTTCACTATAAACTTTATGCAACTTTTCACAAGCTTGACGTGCGTTCTTCCCTTTATGGAAGTAAAACAGTAAAATATGGCAAAAATGCACAGTTTGGTCTTCCGTCTTCAACTTGTAAAATCTCCAAAACTCAACCAAATTGTTCAATTTTTTTAGAATGAAGCTAGAACGGTCAGCTGTCAAATGACATAGCAATAACATAGATGCAAGTGACTCTAGTACTTCCAAAAATGAACTAGTGCCATCTGTTGCAAACATGCGTCATGACTTTTCTGACAACCCAATGTAAGTATGATACTACTTCAGAAGAGAAGATATAACTGGACATTGAGGAAAGATTAACTATCATATTAAAGTATGCAAAATTAAAGAATGCAATTAGAGAACATCCAAAATGTAATTTTCTTCACTGTTTTTCTTTAAGCTGTTTATTTCACACACATGTAACATTTTATTCTCCAAGTGTTTCCTTTGCTCCACATCTGTTATTTGACATTTAATTAACTTCCCAAATCCAGGCCCAAATTATTTACTCAAAAGCAATAGTATAAAGAAAAGGAACAGAACAAACCAATGTCGTTTGGATTCACACAGATTTTACTTTCACCTGGGATTCGTTCATATGTCATTGTTAAAGGTAAAATTAATTCATCTACATAAATGTTAAGATCCTAAAATCCTTCATGACAATAACTGTTAGTTCAAAGCTATTCACCGATGGGCAATTTAAAACACAGAAATATAGGCTCAAAAACAAAGAGCTTTATGTAACAGGTTCACTTCATGTAACAGGGTCTTAGAAACTTGGTATTAATTGGTTAGAGAATTTTTTTGAAGGGCCAATAACATAAACAAAAAAGCAAAAGCATTTGGAGAGGGAAAACTTCACAGTACAGCATTTTATATATAAGATATAAGAGGCCAAATTTCCAAGGCATGAACACTATCTAATATAAAACAATACATTTCCTGTCAAATCACTTTCACATGAACACTGATAGCTGACAGAAAACAAATGCTTTAAATATAACAGAACCAACTGTTAAGCAAAAATCAAATAACAACTTAAAGATCTTGAGTGTTTTGTCTGCTCAACCCACCAAGTAATAACGACAATACTATTATATATTCAGAACTACAATCAAGGTACTTAAACTATTCAACCTCAATAATGAGACTAAAACTTACTCTCGAAATCGTTTGCTGTGGATTTTGGTTATTGTTGAAGACGCCATGGGACTGCCTATCCCAGAACTAGCTGGAGAGCCTTGTGACACAGGTGTCATACAGTACGGAGAGTTCTGACTTGCGGGAGACAGCGAAGTATCACTGGGCATGCTCAGTCCAGTATCTGTGGAGATGTGATGTGAGGGAAAAGAAATTTTAAGTGTTGAAAAGCTTTATATTAATCAACACAATTTAGAATGGCAGTTGTCTTTTGTATCACTTTGGAATTCTCCAGAAGCTAACAAGTTGGACACTGTTCATATGACAAATAAACATTTTTCATACACCACAAAAATGGACTCTTCCTATTATCTCCTAAAGTATACTCTTAGAAATCAAGCACAAGTCTCCACAGAAGAGATGCGAGAAGGCCTGATTATCTAAAGCATGTATATTCCTAGAAGATTTAAATTGAAGAACAAGGGTATTAACTTCTATACCAGAAGATCATATTCCCCATTTCCTTCATCTCTATTTTTCCACCTATTTCTTAGAAATCACTTTTTTTAACTGCCTAAAAATTCCCATTGCTACTGGCAATGATGAATTCTACCTCACTGATTCTCTCTACACCACCCCTGATTCTCCAGGCACCACCCGTTTCTTTCTCATTTGGTCTTCACCTCTGTGCTCAGGCAGCCACATTAGATGCCATCTCTTAACTCAACTGCTTCCTTAAGTTATTGTTTCTTTCCGAAACAGCTCAACTCAGGAAATGAGTTAGTATTTGTATATCCAGTCCATTAATTAGCAAAGTTTCATACACAGCTTCTTATCTCACTATGGGATTATAAACTTTTTATAGCAGGACAGTCAACTATATATCTTTATTACATTTCCTGACCTTCTCACCCCCACATGGTAAGTGTCAGAAAACAACTTCTGAGTGAATAGATGGATAAACACTCCCGAAGAGAAAGACAATGATATTTAATTGAGAGTAAAGGGGAACCAAGAATGTCCTAGCTGAATAATCCTTAGTGTAAACTCATTTTTCTAAATACAATGGAACACTGCTACTTAATCTACATATACATCCGATGTAAATGTTTTAAAGAAAGTTGAGGAATAAATACTCTATACCAGCAGAAAAAGGGACCTTGTCAGATATCTCTTAAAATCTTTCTCCCACAGTAGTAGAAAGTTACAAGGACGCTACAGTTTTGCTGTAGTGCCAACTAGAATCTTGATACGCTGGCTCCTTCCTGTATGGGACTGAATCTTACTGATCAACTGGACTCTGCACTGCAACAGGCTTTACGGTTCTCTACTCATTGTGTCATATGTATTAAATCCATAAAAGCAAGAGTGAAAATCAAGAAAAGCATTTACTCAATGAAAATTAGTCCTGCGAAGAGACACCAGTGTTCTAGATATAAAAAAAGACAAATGAAAAGAACTACAACAGTTACAGAGGGTGCATTGGTGAGATCATCATTATAAGGATTTACAACAAGTTCAGGATTTAAGTCTCAAAAATGCCATCAACCTACCACACAACATTGCCGCTTCCTTTTAAATATCTCCCTACAGAAACATCTTCAAAAGAAATAAAAGACGCACTCTCAAAAATAAACAAATTTAGATAAAATAGAGAGCATATCCTACAATTAGGAGAATAACGAGTGATGGCCTACCTAGCAATTGAAATACGCTAAACCATTCCATGAGAAGAAGGGGGAAGGAGGTGACCTTACCTTCCTGGGAAACGATCTCCTGTGGCAAATCATCCGTAAAATCTAAGTGCATGTCTACTGGTTCCTCAGATCCCAAAAGATTGTGGTCCACAGTTAAACGGCCCTTCTTTTCCTCTCTTTCTTTCAAAATAACCTAAAAGTCATCACCAGTCTTTAATTACTGATCACTCTTTAAGTATGTACAAATGATTAAAATGGTGACTATTACATAGGTACAACAGTTCACTTAAAAATGGACATGAAGATTTTGGATGGCTATGTGTTTAGTCGGCTACATAGAAACTGACTGGCAAAAAAGACAAATGTAATTTTAAATACTGCAGCAGAAGGAAACATTGTATCCAAAATAAAGGGAGGCAATTTTGCTATATAATCTACAGCTATAAAATCACATCTGCTTCATCCTCTTTTGGTCTTCGGAAAAGTCATGACATAGCTTGTCTATGTTTTTCAAAGGTCATTTATTTATATAAAGAACGAAGATCAATCAATGATATTGCCCGTTTTGTTCAATAACCTTTTACCATCTTTCAGTGAGCTTCGTAATTCCTCGTTCATAGAAGAACCTGTCTTTAGTTGCGAAAAACTGAACAAGGTGCTGATTTACAGCCTCATCTGAACTGAACGTTATACCACGCAAGGAGTTTTGAAGAGAGTGAAATAAGTGGAAGTCTGACAGTGCAAGGTCAGGCGAGTATGGTGGGTGTGGCAACATAGCCCATCCAAGCTCCAATTATTTTTGACGGGTGATCAAACTTGTGTGTAGTCTTGCGTTGTCATGGTGGAACACAACTCCTTTACAATTAACAAGATCTGGACGTTTCTGGATGACGGATTTGTTCAAACTGTCCAATTGCCAACAGTACACATTCAAACTGATTGTTTGGTTCCTTGGTAGGAGCTCGAAAAACACAACACCTTTAAAATCCCACCACAAGAAGCCTCAGTAGCCTAATGGATAAGGCATTGGCCTCCCTAAAATCCCATCACACTGAGAGCATAACCTTCCTCTGATGAATGTCTGCTTTCAATGTCGTTTGAGGTGAATCGTAACGTCAGGACCAAGACGGTTTTACACACCACATTGTTGTAAACGATCCACTTCTCATCACCAGTTATCAGTCGCTTCAAAAAATGATCGTTTTCCTCACGTTTAATGAGCATATTGCAGATGTTTATACGCACCGTCAAATGAACTTTGAGTTCATGTGGAACCCAAATAAAACTTGCTTATGTATCCCAGCTTCTTCAGGTGATCGTGTATGCTTGAATGATGGATGTTCAATGTTTCTGCAATCTCTCATGTCGTGTAACGTGAGTTTGACTCGATCAATGCCTTTATTTTGTCATCATCAACCTCGGTGGGCCTCCCTGACCGAGGAGCATCATTGAGATCAAAATCACCAGCATGGAATTTTGTGAACCATCACTGGCACCGACGTTCTTGTAGAGCATTTTCACTATAAACTTTATGCAACTTTTCACAGGCTTGACGCGCATTCTTCCCTTTATGGAAGTAAAACAGTAAAATATGGCAAAAATGCACAGTTTGGTGTTCCATCTTCAACTTGTTGTAAAATCTCCAAAACTCAACCAAATGGCTCAATTTTTTTCAGAATAAAGCTAGAACTGCCAGCTGTCAAATGACATAGCAATAACATAGATGTGAATGACTCTAGTACTTCCAAAAATGAACTAGTGCCATCTGTTGCAAACATGCGTCATGACTTTTCCAAAGACCCAATAGTTTCTCCATCAATGGATAAAATAAAGTTTGGAAAGCAGGTCATAGAATTACATTAGATCTACATTTTGCAGTTTTCAACTATTTGGATATGGATTACACCTCATTCTTCTCCTTCTTATAATAACAATACTGAGTTAAACAGAGTAGATATTACCCCCAACTCACAGGTGAGGAAGATGAGGGTAAGAAAGGTTTGCCTAAAACTACATAAGCGCTGAAGTTAGTAGAATCCAGGCTTCTGAGTTGTAGGGTCTAAGATTTTTGAATGCTAAATGTTTAACTTTAAAAAAAAATATCTTACAGAAAGAATTCATTCTCCAGGGCCTCGTTCAACACAAAAAGATCGTCATGATGTTGATGCTATCCCCATCATCCTTATGACGACACCTATGAACACTTCACAATAATCTGTTGGCTAAAACGCCACAACTCCTTTTGCAAAACAGATTTAAAGCCTTATTTATCCTGTATAATAAACATCCCAGATTCTGGTTTACCTTTTTAAGTGCTGTGGGCCGTTTTAATTTTGCAATTTCCTTCTCTTTTCCTTTTTTTGCTTTAGAGGAAGTGATGTCCAAAGAATTAAATGATGTCAAACAGGGCTGACTTTTGGTTAAAGGTTTTCTGTTAGTAGAGTCTTTAGTGTGAAAAGAAGCTGCAGTGACCACTACAAACAAATAAGAACATTAGTTTTTACTATTATGGCCAACTCCTCATACTTTCAAATTTCTAATGAAAAATCTATAAAAACAAGAAAATCCTCTTGTGGAAAAATAGACATCAAACTGTTGGAGCAGTACATAGCCATGCAATGCCCCCTCAGACACAGCTTTTATCCATTTTTTTAGCCTCCTAAAAAAGACAAAGCCAGTGCAATTAACTAATTTAGCCATCCAAAGTAGGGATATATAAATTAGTACTATTCTACTGCAGCAACCCTCAAGCATGGCAGTTCCTTGGAACTGGTCTCCAATCAGAACCATCTACCTCTGAAACTTCAGAACTCTAAACCTCTCCTTATTTTTATTAATTCCTGTCTTATGTAAGAATCACCCTCATCTGTAGTCTAGTTTATCACTCCTCTCCACAAGTCAGTCTGTCAGTAAAGAATGATTTTCCCCCTCAGCTGCATTCTCAGTACTATTAAAGCAATTCTTTTAAGCATGATACCCTCATTTTCCAGTGGCTACCCCCAAATCCTTTAGCAACCCCAAACCCTAATCTCAATTTCACTCTCGCAGAGCAGCTTTTCCTGCTACTTCCCTAAGACGCGATCCAATATAAACTTAGAAGCCAGCTGAGAGGAGGCAGCAGGCTTCCTTACTCCCATCCAAGGCTCACCAACCACCTCTGCTCTTCATCCCATTTCAGGATGCATTCCTTGAGGATGCTGCTCCATTCCTTTCGCCTTGCATCTTTCGAGTTCCTCCTTAACACCCTGACTCCTTTCCCCCTAACGCCCCAGGAGAAGCTAAAATCTCTTCTATCTAGAAGAAAGAAAGAAAACCCAAAACAGTCAAATCGATAAAACCCTTCCCTTGACTGGTTTCCCCTCTAGCTAAAGTACCATCACTCCCCTTCCCTTCCTTGTTAAAATTCTGAAGGCTATGCTTTCTCATGATCAATTCTCTGGCCTCTGCCCTACCCACTCTCTTGAAACTGCTACTGTCCAAATCACATAAAACCTTGCCATTGCCAAACCTAGTTCTTGGAGCCTTCATTCTATTCTAGTTTTTTTTCTTTCTTTCTTTCAGCATTTGATACCAAAGACCATTACCTTCTTCCCCAGTATTCTACCCTTGTTTCCTGTGACATTACATTCTCCTATTTTTCTTCCTCTTTCTCAAACCTATTTTTCTGGCTCTCTGAATCTGACCATTCCACACGTCTTTATCCTTGAACGTCTTTTTCCTAACTTTTCTCCCCCTTACATACAATCTTATGTATTTCCACAGCTACAACATTCCTCTCCATTTGAAACTCTCTGACTTCTAACCTAACCTGCATATACACAACTATAAGTTAATAGGAACCACCAGATCTCCCCAACTAGCATGTCACACACACCAGAGCCGGTCTGTTCTTCCCAACAAAATTCTTCTCCCATGACCCTTATTTTGTTAGGCATCATCATCGTCCTCACCACCATCACAATCCTTCAAGCCAGAGTGTTCGGAATCATTTGACCCGTTTCCACATTTCATGAGTAAACAAATAAACCAACAAACAAAAAACCCTATCAATTCCTTACAATCCTTTCACATCTCTATCGTCTCATCCTTGTTGGGCTGCCTAAGAAAGTTGATTTCTTTGTAATCAACACTTTCCAATTTAAACACTGATGTTATTTCTGTCAGTCATGAATCCTACGCCCCCTTGAAAGCCCAAATGCTATCATATATGAAGCCATTTGTAACATCCTCCCCATACCTCCCTGCTGACATAAATCACTCTCTCTTCCACAAGTTCATAACATTTGGCTGGTATCTTTCCTAAGGCACTGCTTTTTATTAGTTATTTGTGTATAACCTTTTTCCCTGACAAGAATATAAATTTCTTTCCACAGGTATATCTTAATCATATCTGTAGTTCCACAGTCCCTGACACCATGCTTTGCATGTAGATATTTACATTGGTATCTATTAACATTCGCTAAATGAATCATTCTTGTAATAAGTTATTTGAAGTATCACAGGTTAATAATCTCATCTCCATAATAATTAACATTTATTGCATAATTATAACTCAGACACTCTTCTAAACACTTTACATGTATCATCTCATTTTTTTCAAAACAATCCTGAAGCAGATGCTATCATTACTTCCATTTTAACGTAAGGAAATTGAAGCACAGGAAGGTTTAATAACTTGCCAAGGAAACACATGAAAGAATAGGATTCAAACCCAGGCAGCTGGACTCCGGCCCCTGCTTGTCGCTACTAGGCCATGCCACCTCCGGAGCACCACTCTCTGTCCCGTTCCCTGCAGTCCTTTACTCTCAGGGAGGGCTCCCCCCATCTCAGCAACATGCAACTCCAAAGCTTAGCATGCATTCAGTATTATGTTTACTAACAGTTACTCAAAGCTAAGTTCCAAACTGGATGCATTAATGACCATGGATTTTAAACATTTTGCACATAGTATTAAAAGTCATAGTTATCTTTTCATCTAAAAACAGATCCTTTACAAAGAAACAGAAAATTCAATTTGGCCTCTCAACATCAATGTGGTTTGGTTGGTGCCTTTACCCTCCTATATTTTATTCCTCATCGTCTAAAACAAAGACTTTCAAAAGAAATGAGAGACTGCAGCAGAGCCGCTGAGCTCTAAATTTGACAAGGTTTGCTAAAATATAAATTACTGTTTCAGTAGAAAGCCAGATCATATTCTGTCTGTCTCTCTCTCTCCCTCTCTCTCTTTCTCTCAAATACACACACACACACACACACACACACACACACACACACACAATTTGATCAAAACTCCTGTTTCCCATTTGATTTTAAACTGAGTAATTCAACAGTTATAAAGCCAAATTACTGTGACCCTTATTGCAACCTTTGAAAAAAAAAAATTGATTGGTTCAAAATGTACACCAACTGACACCAGCACAGACCACAGGACCTGAGGGAACAAGCTATACTGGTATCTGAGGAAAGAGAGTTCCAGGAAAATGAAGTAGCAAGCACACAGACACTGAGCCAGGAGCATGCTGGGTGTGTGGGGGAGACAGGGAGGGGGCTGAGATGGCCGGGAGAGCACGTGCCAGGAGAGAACGGTGATGAGGGAAAAACGATACCAGGATCGGCTAAGACAGGGCCCTAGCAGGACTCTGGCTTTACTCCAAGTGAGATGAAAAGTTACTGCAGGGTTCTGAGCAGTGGGGTGATATAATCCAGCTTATATTTCAAAAGACCACTCCTTGTAAAACAGACTGGGGTTAGGGGGGAAAGAAATGCAGGTGATAGGAGGCTACTGCACACAGTGTAGTACAATGATGAGGCTACCAGGGTAGCAGGAGAGGAGCTGGTGAACACACTCTGGATTTTTTTTGATTATATAATTTAGACTACCAATATCCAAAATACAGTAATAAAGCCAAATAGCAAATTGCTCAGACTAACGATATCACCTGTGTATGCCAGTGGTCTGGTGTTAGTTATCTGCCGTGCTTTCATCGCTTGTTGTTGTTTTTCCAGAGCTGCTAACATGTCCCCCAAATCTAGCTGCACGGGTGTTTTATTCTTTTTTCCAGCTGCCTTTGATAAAGCTTCCTACAAGGTAAACAAGAAAACATTTTTTGTTTTAGTATGTAAATGTGGCCATTTAAGATTATTATATTTGTCACTCCTATCCATCCCCCCAAACCTATCAAATAAATTATTACATTTGTTCACAAAAATGTATATACCTGTAATTTTTTTTGCTCCATACTTATTTCTGAATATTCTTGAGCTGTGGCAAGGGCCGCTGCTAAAGCTTTCTTCTTCTGACTTTTTGCACGTTTAGGAACGCAGGTTGTAATAGGAATTGGGGTCTGAACTATGTTGATTGGTGAGTTTTCAGGTAAGTCATCCAACTATGATAACCAGAGAAAAACATGTCAGTGATTCCATGGAAATCTAATTATAAGGAAAGATAAATGCAGAATGTGGGATGTTCTACAGTATAACTGGACTAGACTCTTCAAAGGATTCAGTGTCATGAAGAACAGAGTGAGATAGTGGGACCACTCTAGAATGGGAAATAACAGACAAAACAGCTTAACGCAATAGGTGATGTTTGTCTGCACCTCGGATTGAAAACAAAATAACTCCAAAGTAAAGTTCTGCAACAATTGGGGAAATTGCAGTATGGACTGTATGCTATATGATATCATTTAACTAATGGTATTTTCTTGTCTGTCATGAAACTATGGATTTCACAGGAGAGTGTTTCTGTTCTGGTTATGCTGAAAAGAAATATTAAACTACTAAATGCACTGTTTCTTCTATACCATGCTGCCCTGCCCCATGTCTTTATACATACCTGTGATACTTCTTTTCAATAGCCATAGTTCAAAAGATGTTTAAATATTTTGCTTATCTTTTTAAGAAGAGTCACTTACTACTTTTGAAGAAAGTTTCTGTTGAATATTCTCTTCTTTAGTATTTCCATTCTCATTTAATTCTCGAAACCCATCTTCATCCTGAAATAGTTTCACATTTTAAGTAAAAACAGAGTTCAAATAAATTCTTAAGAAAAATTTTTTATAATGGTTAAGAGTAATGAAATATGGGGATATTCTTTTAGTTCTAATACTGAACTATTTAAAGTCAGACTTCAAAAGGAAATCTTATTCTCACATGCTAAAACATTGCTAATTTAATTGTTCAAGGATGGGGGCATATCCACATATACCCACCCTTTGGATTTCTGCATCCCCTGTTCAATTTTTATTAATAAATTCTGCCCTAATAGAAAAGAAATTCAAAAAGGATTTTATCACATTTCAGATAATTTGAAAAAGATTTTAAACAGATGGCATAATATGAATTTCATTAATATATTCTATCCTGCATTACTACACACACCTGTCAACAGATTAAAAGTTAAAAAATAAAAATTAAAAAAATTTCCTATTCAAAGTAATTTCTTAACCAATATCCTCCTCTACATTGAAAATTGCATCTAATATCTTTAACTAAATGTAAGTATGGAACCAATCAGATGCTTAAGTGCAAATAATAAATCTGCCACATGTACTGTTCTTGATAGAATAATTGAGATGCACTGTCAAGTCTTTTAGGTCAATTACTAAGTGTATCTAATATAACATTCATCTCTAGCCTCTGGGCTCAAGCGTGTTTTCCAGTTTAATCTCCTCCATCTACTAACCTATTTTATAGAAACCGTAACCCAACAAAAGTAAGTTACTCAAGTGAGTTGCCTGGGATGTTGTTTACCATCTTGACACAACCAAATCCTACTCATTCTTTAAAATCTATTCCAAATGTTATCCCTACGCTGCCCCAAATCCAAAGGGATTTGTTTCTCCTTTCAACTCAACCACATTCAAGCAAGTATTTAGGAGCGTACGCATCTATATTCCTCCTCCACACAGCAGCTTCTCTAAGGGGAGTATGCTTATTCACCTTAATGTATCATTCAGAGCACCTTACTTTACACATATAAACAGACCCCCAACAAAAGGCAGTTAAGATGGATAAACAATAGAAACACTGCAATTAGAATATAAACTTGCCTGCCTATTAGAGAAAGTAAAATAACCTTTTTTCTTTCTTCTCCAAGACTCTCCTGGCTAGCAACTCAAATTAACAAGATTGAACTTCTCAAATATGGAAAACTTGACAAATTGACTGAACAACAATATAAAAAATTACAGAGAAAGTTTTATACTAGGTGAAATAAACAAACTATGCATACATCAAATATACATACTAGGTGAAATATACGTAACTACTTCTACAAGTTACCTCAAAATGGCTCATAACAAAATCTATAAAAGTAAAATTAATGAAGTTAATGTTAGACTAACTATATATAACCAAGACAAAAATGAGTCAATTTTTCCAAGTAATTTATAATCGAATTGTAGAGTCACGTTAAGACATGAAAAGTATTTACCATAATGTAAGAAAATTAGTATCTTAATAGGAACATTTGCTATAACAGTTTACAAAAAAGGTTTGAAAAAAATACCTCCAAATATAAAGACTCAGAATTTGGGTCGCCTCTGTGAGACTGACTGGGGTTTAACTGCTTATTATCTTGTCTCTTTTGCAAATTCTGTCTTCTTTCTGAGGAAGTACTGTGTCCTCGACATCTGAATCCAACCTAATAAACCCCAGAGGGGGAAAAAAAACATGTCTTATTTTTTTAAGTAAATGTTTTATTGAAATATATAACATACAGAAAAGTACACAAGTGTACAACGCAATGAATTTTCATAAAAGTGCATAATTTATCATAAAAGGTTACAACTTTTGAGAAATAAGGTCATTAAAAAGAAAATATAAAAATGAGATAATTAATGCACGTTACTTTTTTCCCCCCTGTACATGACCATTTATATATTAGCTTATTTGTAATAGCCAAAAACTAGAAACAACCTAGATGTCCTTCACTGGGAGAACAGTTAAACCCACTGTGATACATCTATTATATATACTATGAAACAGCAGTCAGCCACAAAAAGGAATAAACTATTGATATACCCAATGTCTGGATAAATCTCAAGAGAACCATGTAAGTGAAAGAAAGCCAATCCTAAAATGATTGCATGAGCTCATTTATACATTTTTGAAATGACAAAATTATAACACAGGGGAACATATCAGTGGATTCCAGGGGGAAGAGGAGGCTGGTGGGGAAGGGAAGGGAAGAGGAAAAGGGAATGTAGCTACAAAAGGCCAACATGAGGGGATTCCTTATGGCGACAGATCTGTATCTTGACTGGATCAATGTCGGTATCTGATTGTGATATTGTATAAAATTTTCCAAGATGTTACCATTGGACGAAACTGCACATTACCATTGTATTAAACTATTGTTAAGTCTTCCAATATCAGCAGTTTTATTTTTTTTTAAAGAATTCCTAATAAAAATTAAAAATTAAAACTCTTGTTTCCAAGAAAACAAATTTAAGAGAATACATTTTTCATTCCATCATATACATTATTATTATCCTACCAATTTTATAAAATGTTCAATTGTTCAAGGGCAAGAAAAAACAAATTAAGCATTTTAAGACTCTTAAGACATTTCGAGTTCCCTCTCTTGAGAACCCAATGCCGCTAATATGAAATACCTCTTTTAACCAGGACACTTGGAAGACATGAAAGTATGATGTTCATTATCAGTTAATCTAAGATTCTAACAATAAACAGAACTTGAAGCACGCCTGGACGGAAGGTGCTGGTATATAGGCTTTGAACTATGAAATCAAAAATATACACCCAAAAACCTGGAACCACCTGGCAATTCCCATGCTAAGCAAGTGCTCTAAAAAGACTTGCTGTTAAGAAATAGAATTTTTCCTCTTTGGGGAAATAGGCTGTATGGACAACTACAGGCCAAGAGGATAGTCACACAGCAAATTTAATTCTTCTTAGAATATGCACTATGATTACTTGGCTACTTCCTATAACCTACAAGCACCTGTTAAGAGATGATTCCCAGATACCCAAGAATCTCTTGATTTTAAATATTTAACTCATTTTAAAATAGGCTCATGAACATGAATAGAGAAATGGACAGAAGAATATACATGATGAAGCCAATTTTAGTAAAATGTTAGACAGCATCTAGCTGGTAGCTATATGAATGTTCTCTGCAAAATTATTTCAACTTTCATAGTAAAATATTTTTTAAATTGGCTCATGAAAAGAAGCTATTACAAGGTGGTAAAATGAATGCAATTTATAATATACACAGGTACTAAAAAAAAACTTAATTCACATAAGTTAACACTGAAATTAGTACTAATAATTAAGCCCCAAGTTAGGGATGAACACAAAGAAAGAGAATAATTCTTGAGTACAACTCTACATTTTTTTTTTTTAATACAGGAAGGGGCACTCTTTTTTTTTTTAAAGATTTTTATTGGGGATTTAGGGGATGGGAACAGTGCTGGGGAATTGGGGGAAGGGGAACAGACAAGTTGCTGTTGTTTTGTTCTTCAGCCCAGCTCCAGGTTGAGCTGTTGTTCAGCATCTTAGCTGTGGAGGGCAGTGTCACTGGTCCTCATATGTGGGATCCGAACCAGGGCCTTCTGGCATCCCAAGCCAGCTCTTAACCAATGCACCACTCGGCCGGCCCTACATTTTTTTGTAGTCATTATCTCAAAAATCCAAAGCTGCCCTCCAACCAGCATGACAATTATGTCAAAAATTAAGCCCTCTTGTAATCCAGGTACTATATAAACATTCATGTTGTTACAAACACTAAAACAATTTTTTAAAAAAACAAATGCAACTTGATTCTTACACTTGGAGACATAAACCTCCAGGATTAAATTAAAACCACCAAACTAATGGTCCCAACAAAGTTCATGAAGACCAAACACAAAAATATTTCAATTGTTTCCTGGAATACATAACCTCATTTTTTTTTTTTCAGTTCTCCTCTAAGAAAAAGAGTTTTGTGGCTGAAAGTGGGCATACAGAACAGAGCAGAGAAACCAGCTTCCAATACATATTAAGATTCTTCAACGACTAGCACAAAATTACTGAAATACTGAAGTTTTCATACCCCATATATGTAACAAAAAAATACTAGGAATTGACGTATGAGGAATATGTACAAAATTTATTTTCAGAAAACTATACAACACTTCTGAACACAAAAAAATGACTCAAAAATAGGAAGACATACTGTTTTACGCATGGAAAGATGCGACACATCATAAAGGTAATTCTTTCTTCCTAAACTGATAGATTAGTGACCAATGGAACAAAACAGAAGGTCCAGAAATAGATTTCAATACATATGGGAATTAATAGGAGACAAGGATGGTTATCTCAAATCAGTAGAGAGATGAATTTTTCAATAAATGATGTTGGGAGATTTGGGTAGTCACCTAGAAAATACAAAGTAGGATCCATATCTCACACCATCCATCCACCAAGACAAACTCCAAATGGAATAATATTTAAATGTAAAAAAACAAGAGCATAAACACACTAGAGGAAAACAGGCAAATTCCTTTATAACCCTGGAGTAGGGACAAGGCTTTTCTAATTGATTTAAAACGCAGAGCCATTTTAAAAAGCGACAACAAAGTCAAGGATATAATATACGTATATCCTTATAAAAATAGACTTCTTAATGTTATTTAAAACATAAAATAAACTAATGCATGGCAATAACAATGAGCAAAGTCAAAAATTAAAATAAAAACCTAGAAAATATTTGCAACTGACATTACAAACTACAGGCTCCTAGAAATTTTAAATATTTCATAAGAACTTGATTTAAATGATTTTAAAATGTATAAGAGAGAGACTAAGATACAAAAAGTGAGCGAAGGGTATGACCAGACAAATTCACAGAAAAACAGAAGTGGTCCTTAAACACATAGAAAGATACTCAACTACATTAATACACATTTTAACCTAACTGGCACAAATCCAAAATCCTGAAACCACATGATTTCTTAGGCTACATAAAGATATACACTCTTCACATTATTGTTGAGAATGTAAAGTGGTGCAATCTGGTGATATTTACCAAATAGCAGATGACTTTAACTTTTCACCCAGCAGTCCCTTATCTAGGAATTTATTCTACTGCCTATACAGACAATGCATCATGTCTAAACAGCAAGTTTTCAAACAACTGAATGTCCATTGACAGAACTACAGAGATCAACAGTGATATAACTATATACACTAGGAATTGTTTTTTAAAAAAATATAGAAGCCCTTTATGTAATAAAATGAAAATGTCTCCAAGGAATATTGGATGATGAAAGTAGAGTACAGAATAGAGTGGATAAAAAATAAGATACATACTTGTATTTACTTGTAATTACATAAAGAAACTGGGAAAATACACAAGAAACTAATCAAAGTGGAACAGATATAGGGGACAGATACAGAGAAGAGGGGAAGACGAAAGGAAATGGGTGAAAATGAGATTTTGTAATAACCTTTTTCGTTTCTTTTATTGTTCAACCTATTCACAAAATAAAACCATTTATAAGAAAGTTTTAGATTCTGTCCATCATTTAAAATTAAAGCTTTATCAGGGTATAGGAAAAATCTGCTTTTCAAATATTAAAATACTCATAAAAATATTAAAAATCACTGCATGGTACAGTAGTTAAAACAGCATGGTACAGCTGCAAATTTCTGATACATGGAACAAAAGCCTAGAAATAGCAAATGACTAAAAGGCCTGCACAAATCAGAGAAAAAAATGGATTATAATGTTAGGACCACAGGTTGACTACTTTGAAAATCTACATCATTATGTTGTACCATACATCAAATCAATTTCAGATAAAATTCTGGAAACATAATGCTAGAAAAAAGCAGAAAATACAAGTGAGTATTTGATTACTCAGAGACTTTTTAAGCCTAAAAATAATCAGAAATTGCAAAAGGGGGAACTATTTTCACTTAAAAGAAACAAAAAGATTCTGCATGTCAAAAAACAAACAAATACATGCTTAAGAAAAGTAAAACAAAGTATCACAAGTGGAAAAGAAAACAAACACATTGTTCCACATCTTGCTCCAGTTCTTTTGGAATGAAAAGAGATACAAAACAAACAAACCTTAACATACTTATACTACATGTGTTTTCATAATTTTCTTTTTTGTTGTTGTTCTTTTCCCATTTCTTACCAGTTTTGAGGTAGAGGGAAAATGTTTTTGTCTATCAGTATCACTTCCTCTCCAGTGGGCTACTGATATCAAAAATAATAGTACAGAGGCTACAAACTTGGCAGTTCTAGCAGTTGGAATTTCAACATAAAATTTTAGCACTTAACTAAACATTGTGTAGATTTTGTTTACATAATCTATTTAAACAACTCTTATTTTAGCTCTTTTGTTTTTAATTAAATAAAGCTAGACTGCCTCACAAGCCTGCCACAAACAATGACTCATTTTTGCAATAACCACAGGGGAAGAGGGCATTATTCTGACTGTTTTCCTGACACCCAAATTAATGTCAGAGTACATCTGAAATGCTTCATTTTAGGGAGGCAAAGGAACCGGCAAGTATTTGGTCTACTTAATCTGTTAGCAACTTACTCTAATTTCAGTTCATCCACAGATCTAGTAGTATAATTTTAATTCCTTAAGGAATCCAGGAAGTCTATCTAAAATTTGAAAGGAAAAACGCTGACCAATAAGGAAGTCCTGATTTCACAGACAACCAATGTGGGAAGCCAGTTACTGGAAGCTTGTAGCAGTATGTAACTCGCTCTGCTGTCCTGCAGCTAGGTCCTGCTCCCCCAGACCAGGAAGCTGCCAGTCTGGCCTCACTGTGGGGGAGGCAGCCATCACTACAGCATTGCAACAACAGCACTGCAACAACAGTGTGGCTTGTGGTGTTCACAGGCAAGTCACACGGACAAGGCTGCAGTCCTCAAGTTCAGGAACCAATATGTAAGGCATTAAAATGCTTTAAAATTTTTTATATAGATAAGTTAGCAGGTGAACCAAGATTGGAGGCTATACAATTTAAAACTATGAAATATCCAAATACATTTCTTAGGTATAGAAAAGTAGGAAAATGTTACAATGTGCCCATATATATACCACCTATTTTCAACATTTTTGCCATTTTGCTTCATTACGTCAATAATTTTATTGGCTAAGCCATATTAAAGTTATAGATATAATATTTTATTTTTGTCTTTTATTTATTTATTTTTTAGCTGAGCCATCCTGCCACCTGTTGGCAGCTCAGCGGCAGCTCAGCTCGGGCCGGGAATTGAACCATTGTTGCTCAGAGCTCAAACTCTTGAGCGAGCTCTTAACCAACTGAGAAACTCGGCCAGCGTAATATTTTATTTTTAAATAATTCAATATGCATCTCTAAAAATTAAGGACACCGCCCTTCAGAACCACTACCCATTTATAATAATCCATCTCACACTAATCAAATTTCTCCGACCTAATTCAAATTACCTGTGAATTATTTCTTTGTTCAGTCTGCCTTCCACCTCTAGAAAATGTCTGATTTTTTTCCATCCAAGGTTTTTTCTGAGTTGCCTGGCAAGTTACATTGGACCAATTTACACCACCTGTAACAAATGAGATTTAAAAATATGATTTACTTATAAAAGATGCCAAAACCGAAACTGCTCCTTAAATTCATGTACTGAAATTCAGTCACTATAAATGTAATAGTGGAAAGATTTCTATAAACTTTAAGTGGTATTCCAGTTGTTAGTAATACAAAGAGTATCATCTGCAGAATACCTCTGGCTGGCATTTTCTCAATTTTATCAGCAAAATTATACTTTCAAATTAACTTGAATCTCCTCTGGAAGATTTCTAATTTTTTTTGCAGCATCAGCAAGCTTCATGCTTAAAAGCAAAACTTTGACATGGACAAAGAAGAAAGTATAGGAAAAACAGTATGCAGAAAAATAAGTACCTGCACATATAGATGAGTCCACATGCTAAAAATAGAAACAAAAAAGACAATTATATATGAGTCAACACCGTATACCCTACAAAATATTTCATAATCTAGTCTAGTGTGAAGCATGCTTATTACAATCTTAGAAGAAAATACTTCTCCATAAATGAATATTTTTCATATTAATAAAATACACAAAAATGTTGGTAACCATCCTATTACTACAGGAATTGTTAATGAAAATAGATCCTTAAGCTTTAGCAGAGGACACAAGAATAGTGACAGATGACTGATCAAACAAAGCAATGTTACACATACATTCATGGTGCTGGAATCAGGATTTCGCAAAGCCCCTGCTGTAGGCTGGTTGTTGCCGTGTTTGGGGCTGCAGTAGCCACTATCACTGTCAATGTCAGCCTCACTAGCCCCCTGTTCACTAGAGGATTCGGCAGTAGGGTGGGATGCTCTTCTCCGCCTGCCTTTGGACTTCCAGAGCATCGTGGCAGAGCTCTCCGAAAGAGACTTGTTAGCGATGTCTGACGGGAAATCTACAAGGCAAGCAAAGCGTGACAACTCTTTGTGAGGACCAGGTTGATCAATTGTTAAACTATCGTTGAGGTTATAAGAAATAAAGATAGCTAACTTTGTAAATGGTGAACATGTTCTGAAAACTTCATCAAAAGGTAAAAGGCATTCCTGACAAGTTGGTTTATAACGTGTTTATTATGAAACGAAAATAGATTAGCACATTAAAATATGATAACAAACCCCCATTACCCATTTAAGAAAGAGAACATCACTAACCCTTTGAAGCACACTGCCTGCCCCTGCATGGTAGCATCCTCTTCCCCCCTCAGAGGTCACCTCTATTCTGAATTCTGTGTTGTCATTCCCTCACTTTTCAAAACAGATATACCATCATTTCTGTATTCCTAAAAACATAAATCATGTAACTTTGCAATTTTGACCTATAAAAATGAAATCTTACTGTCCAAGTTCTGCTGTGACTTGCTTCCCACCCTGCCTCCTCCACGCTGGTTCTGAGATTCAGATGCTGTGGCTGTATTTCATTAATGTTGCTGGGATCTAGAACGCCTGTGTGTGATGTGACCACACCATAATGTAGTTGCCCTTTGTACCACTGACGGCACACTTGGGTTGTTTGGGGGTTTTGCTCTTATTAAGAACATTACTGTTGTAAACATTCTCATACCGACATTTATGAATGTATATGTGTGCATGTGAAAGTTTCTCTAAGGTAAATATTACTGGGTCTTAGGGTATACATACATTCAACTTTCCTTGGTAGTGCCAAATCATTTTCAAAGGTGGTTACAACAGTCTACGCCCCAACAGCAGGATATAAATATCCCCACTCATCCACACATGCACAAAATACTTGATGCTGTCTTCTAGACTGTAATTTTTGCCAATTGTTGGGTATAAAAAGAGGGCTCATTGTTGAGTTTTAATTTGCATTTTCCTGCTTAATAATGAGATTTGAGCATTTTTTTCTGAGGCTTTTAGCCACTAATGTTTTCCCTTCTGTGAAATACGTTTTAATTTTACTTTTGGATTGTTTGACTTCTGCCTAGTTTTCTAATGAACTTATCTGTTTCTTATTTCTGTATTTCACAAATTGTAATCACAAGATATTAAAAACAAACAAACCTAACAATTTCCACCCAACCCAACAACTTATAAATTTTTCTCTATCCACATTCCTGCCCATAATTTTTAGACAGCCTCAATATAATTGAGTTGTGCTGTTTAATATTATGTATATGTTCTTCATACTTATAATATAAGAAGGTTCCATATTATTCCATTGAGAGGATGTCCTGTACTTCTTTTGACTTCTCACCTGCTACTGGACCCTGGGACGTTTTCTGTATTTTTGTTGTGCATCTTTAATCAAACAGCCCCTTTTCTTTCCAGGGGGAGATTCTATTTGGGTACATTCGCAAGAGTGAAGGGCAGATTCCTATAGTTCCGCCAAATTGTTTCAGCCCCCTGACACTGTGTCCCAGGGGCCCTGAAGGCAGGTGAGATCATTTTCTTAGTGATTCGTATGAATTCTTTATACGTATGTCCTCATACTAATCCTTTGTCAGTTATATGCATGTAAAATCTTTTCCAAGTTTGTAGCTTGTTCTTTCACTCACTTTTGATAAACAGAAATTCTGAATTTTAGACATTGCCCTCCCTGCAGTCATAAAGCTATCTACCTATATTTTCTTTTACATGTGGTTTTCCCATTTAAGTCCTTAATCCACATGGAATAGATTTGCATGGGGTATAAGTTAGGGATCTGTAGTGCTATCTCTGTCATTTTTTATGTATGTTTCCACATACGTGTGAGTCTTTTTGTGGGCTCCTTGTTCTGTTTTTGTATACTGCATTTTGTATACTATATTTTTGTATAAGTCTATAGGAATTACGATGGCTTACTAGGTCTTGATATCTAGAGAAAAAGTTCTTTTGCAGAGATGTCTTGGCTCTTCTTAGACCAGTACTCCTTTATTTTAGAATTAGTTTGTCAAGTTCCCTAAAAATTTCTATTGGAATTTTGATTGGAACATCACTGAATCTACAGATTAACTCAGGGAAAAAATGACATTTGCAATATCAAATCTTCCTGCATGAACATGATACTTAGATTTCTTTTAAATGTTCTATAATAAAGTTATAGTGTTGTGCATAAATGTCTTTGTACATCTTGTATAAGGTTCATTGCCAGAAACTATATTTTTGTTGCTACTGTAAATGGCATCTTTTCTTAAACTCTGTAGGGAGCATACTGAAATGCAATTTACTTGTATAGTATCTTACATCTATCTACCCATCTTACTAAATTCTTACTAAATAATACAAGCTTGTGTTCAAGAGCAAAAATCTGTTTCAAATTCCTTTATAGTATTTCATTCTACCTCTGATACCAATTAATACTCAGAAATTAAAAACAAACTAAAGAATAAAAACACAGAATGTACAATCCTCAGAATCTGGAAATAAACTATAGAATAAGAATACTGACAGAAAATATAATTGTCTACTTAAATTATAACTCCATCTTTTCCTTTTATAATTCTTATGCTTCAGAAGGCTATCTTTACAGTCATAATAAGCAAACTAAAGAATTTGTAAAAGCAGTCCCAGGATTGAAAGCGTGTAGAAAGAGTCACTATGACTACGAACACCTAACACACAGAGAACTTTGTAATATATTACATTGTGATTCTTCTCCATACCAACTCCAAGCATGTCAGAGTCTGTTACTCTGTTTGCCCAACAAATCACACAATGACTGTATTATCAGCAAGATTGTTTTTTAACTGATTCCCAGATCCTTTTTTGGTCCTAATGGATCTAAGCAATTGTAAAAGGATAACTGACTAGATGTCGAAACGAAAAGAAACAGCCCAATTGAAAGAAAGTATGCGCCATCTAATTCATTTTAAGACAGACTGCATTTGAGTAGAGAGTAAAGGGGTAAAAATCATATGTGCCTTTGAACAGATGTAATTCTTGGCCTTTGATCATTAACAAGGATTTTTTTACTAGCATCAATGACAATGGGTGAGAAGAGATAGATATCGGGGGGAGGGGGGTTGTTACCTGGTGAGGGTGAAAAGGGTAACTATTGTATTGTTCTGTACACCTGAAACTAACAATAAAAAAAATAAATTAAAAAGAAAAAAAAAAAAAAGAAGAGATAGATATCTATTCTATAGCCATAAGGCTAAGATCAGAGATACATATTGCAATTTCATGATATAAACAGAAAAAGAATATTATAAGACTATTACCAGGATAAAGCTTTTTTATTTAATGCTTATACCATCCTCTAAAACACTTCGAACAAAATTATATCCTACTGGTCCAAAATTTTTACTTGTTTGACAGGATATACTGGGGATGTCAAAAAATGTATACAAGTGGACACTTTGGTCAACGTTGCTCAAGCAGTAGTTTGCCATAATCAGAAGTGTCTGGACACTGATGGAACCACTGTGAGCACCTCTTGAAGTCAAACGCGACTTGTATTCAACTTTTGTTATCGGTATATATTGAGAATTACAATTTTAGTACAGTTTTCCTTTCTTAAAATGTGTATACATTTTTTTGACACTCTCTGTAGTTGTCACTCATAAGTTTGGTTCAGTTTTATGCTAAAGTATGACACAGAAAATTTGCTAAATTCTTTCTATAAAAGTATCATAGGATGTTAAGTTGTTTTACAAAGGGTTTAATCTAGTTATGAAAACATGTACAAACCTGATTTCTACCAAAATGAGTCCCTCATATCTCCACAATGTCTGCAAAATTCCATTTCTGATTTCTGAACTGCTTCACTATTTTATAAGGAAACCCCAAACTCTTCCCAAAAATTGTACATAAACCAGCAAAGGAAGTTGAAAGAACATTAAGGACATGGACTGTTTTATCCATCCTTCCTAGAGAATTTCACAAAATGGCAGGACAAATGGAAGGATGAAAGTCTAGAATCATGAAAAGTGGTACTGTCCACAGTTATAAAGTCAATGAATGACAACAGATGGAAATCAGTGATGTATATTATATGTAATTACCCTTGCCTTACCGGTTTGCTGTGAAGCATCTACCAGAAGCACAATTTTTGATCGATTATCAGGACCCGCTGCATTTGTCTCTTTCTGAGTGGCTACGTTTTTCACCAGTGGCCTTTTGCTTTTTATGTGCTGTTGTAAAAGTTGTTGCTGATTAAGTAAAATTTTAAAAAAAAGGTAAGATTCTACTCAATGTACTCAACATTACAAAATACACATTCACTGTAAAATACGCCTAAATGTATACTCCAAATTAATGGTTTGCAGCCCATGGGGAAACAAGGTTACTGTTAGGATTTCATGAAATTATCTGCAGGCAATCATAAGAGGCTAAATAAGGTATTACACACATTTATACAAAATTTTTCAAATAACCATTAACACTACTATAATTAATGAAATATGAATTCATTTTTAATTGTTAGTTCCATTTTTAATTTTCTCAATCAATAATTATTAATAGAAGTAAAACTATATCATATAAGGGGATGTAAGTTTTTATTTAAAAGAGTAACAAACAGGGTGGTTACTTATACAAAGGCCAAATTATAGTTTCATGATAGCAGTGAAGTACAAAAGATATCTGCTTTAGAGCTTACAAATGTAAAACAGCTAATCCTTTCCTTCATTTTTAAAAAATGAGTATTCATCGTTTAATAACAATTTGTACAACAGAATTCTGAATGTAACTTTCTAAATTCAAGTCCTGGGAATGCACTCTGAGAATCATGTTATCTCATCTGAAAGTTATATACTATTATCTTATTTCCAATATTTATTTCTTTTCATTCTCAGAGGTCCCAAAAGGGTTTCCCTTGACCCATGGTGTTTCCATGAATGAAGACTAAAAGCTTTTCCAAGCAACCTCTGCTGCTTGTTTGTCTTTTGATTTGTAGAAAGTATACCAGGAGACAGCAAAGACTTTTTTCTGAAGATCTGGGCTGATAGCATCTAAGGAAGCATCAACTCCTCGATGACACAGTCGATGACACAGTCGAAAGATGTACCTAAGAAGTCACTCTGCCTTCTGTTAACTCAAAAGTATTGAAGAGATGGTTTTTCTTATTTGCAATAGAAAAGTAACCTTTTAGTTAAGAAATGGTTACCTAGAACAAATGTTAATTCTCTTGTGATTTCAAGGCCTTCGTGTTTTGGGTTTTGTTTTTTTTTAACTTAATCAAAAGGGCGGTTCTGACTAAAGGTGGTTTCACATATTTATCGTTCTCTTTTTTTTTTTTTTTCCAACCCTAGGGGACCCTGTGTTCATAAAGTAAAGCATCCCTTGAATAACAAAGTACTATTCCTACTAAAAATTCACAGGTTAGAAACAATGAAGTTGAAGGGATTTAATGAATCACAAATGTTCTTTTCCATCATATCTCCTGCTGATTTCAGAAGACAGAAGTATCCTGAAGTGCATTAGCCATTCAATGCTGCTAGCATAGGATCCAAACTGACCACTTATTAATATTGACATCACTATGCAATGTTTATCACTAAATAATTTGGAAATATTTATTCATTACATTTATGCAAAACTCTCTGAAGGAATTTGAGGATGACTAAATCGTATCATCAATTAAGAATGAGGAAAAATAAAAAATGGGAAAAAATATTTTGTGAACACTATACCCTTAACTATTTTATAATAGTGAGTGAAATGTTTTATAGTAAATTTTGTATTAAAGGCTAATCAATACAAGTAGGAAATTACTTACACTATTACTAACAACAGATATATCAAACATAGCAATCACTTACTTTCGGTACCACTGGTCCTTTGTTACTGTTTCTGCTTCGATGAGTGGACAATGGGAAGACCTGTCCAAGCTGATTTGGACGCTCAGCGCATTCTGTGGTTATAGTATTTACAGTACTTGCAGCCTGAAAGGTGTTGGAGTATGGTGTAGGAAAAGGATGATAGAAACCCATAACTTGGGCACACGGTGCTGGCATCAGCTGATAATATGTATACTCTGTAGAAACAGGTGGCTGAGCAGATATAATGGGGTAGGCAAGGTATGGTCCAGCAGGGTTTGGATTGGGCTGTTGCCATCGAATATCATTGTTATACAACGGAAACTGTCTGTAAAACCAAATAAAAAAATAACAAGTCCATTGACAATTCTGAAAGTAATGCTAAAGGAAAATCTCTTCTCATTTTACTAAAAGAAAAAAAACTGTATAGAACAGTGACTTCATAATAATGCTGGAAAAGGCGATAATGTTATCATCTAACTTTCTTTGCTATAGAATTATGTACATGTAGTAACAATTTAAATGACAGTATAAGGGGATTCAACCTGACAGTTTTACTGCATTCCAAAAATTTGAAAGTACATACCATTCCTATTTGTAACTCTCCCCTCAGCATCCTCAAGATATTTCTGCCTAACAGTTAAACACTTAGCAGTTGGATCTGCCAACAGTCCAAAGTTCCCATCCAATACTAGTAACTATGACAGACTTCTGCAGGGAGCAGGGTAAGGTGATCATTCTGTAAGGTGATCATTACAACGGGTGATTTGGTTGCTCCACCTCTCCTCCTTCAGCTGAGTCCCAGAGCCTCCTAGTCCTCTCCCACACTCCCCTAACCACTTGGCCAAGTTAAGTTCTTTTCCTGGCACCCCTCCTTGGTAATGGAAAACAGGCTCCAGGTCCACGGGAAAGAAGAGAAGAGACAAGCCTGTCTACTGCCATCTTATCCCTAGCGTTAGAGCTTCTCCTAGGGCAGTTCCTGTCAAGCACCAGCACGACTCTTCCTGTCTCAGGAGTCGTGCTCACAGACGGTTGCTGCTGACGAATGAGGGGTCGTGGGGAGCTGGAGCATAGGGCTTTTCCTCACTACTCCCATGACAAAGCAAAATGGAAAATGTTCACTGCCATAATTAATTCTAAAGGTATTTTAGGGGCCGGCCGAGTGGCTCAGTTGGTTAAGAGCTCGCTCAAGAGTGCGAGCTCTGAGCAACAGGGTTGCCGGTTAGATTCCCACATGGGCCGGAGCAGCCCAGCTAAAAAAATAAATTAAAAAAAATAAATAAATAAAGGTATTTAAAAATAATATGATGCTGGCTTACTCATGAAATCTCAAAAGATTATTTGGTAAGGTAAGAAAAATTTAATTTACCATGCTATATATACTTGGTCATTTTGTCAAATAGAAAAATAGTATTATTAAATGTAGTTTACAAATCACTTTGAACACAGTCCATACAGGTCAAATACTGGGGGTGCCAAAAAAATGTATACAAGTGGACACTTTGGTCAAGGTTGCTCAAGCAGTAGTTTGCCATAATCACAAGTGTCTGGACACTGATAGTAACCGCTTTGAGCACCTCTTGTAATTGCAGAAGTCAAATATGACCTGTATTCATCTTTCATTATCGGTATATATCGAGTATTACAATTTTAACACTGTTCTCCTTTCTTAAAATGTGTATACATTTTTTTGGCACCCTCTGTATTTTTAATATAATGCTAACTTTAATTAAGAAGGATCGCTTAGCTTCTACTATTTGCCCAATCCCCGAAACTACTGAGCTTCAAATTATTAACCTGAATATTTCATTTCTGAGAAAGTTGTTTAGTGATTTCATATCTCAATTATCCAGAATTTCTCAAGAATGTGCCTTGGCACACAAGTGCGCCACCATGGGTTATAGATGTGTAGAAATGTTGATTGCTTTAGTCCTTGGGGGTTGGGCAGAGACTACAGCCCAGCTACCTCATCCATTTATTCCAGAAGGCTAGAGAACAGAGAAGAAGTACAATTTTCTGTGTGTGATATAACTTGAAAGAGTCTAATTTCTTTTATATAGCATAAAATGAACTGCACCAATGGAGTGCTAATCACTCAGATAATCTAAGCAAAGTCAGAAAGGCTATCACAACTATCACAAGTTATACCCTAGTGGTTACGAGGTCACACACATTATCTGAATTACAAGCAGTTTGCTAACTCACCCTGTGACAATAGTACAGAGTTAAATTTAAACTAGAATCAGTGTCTAGAGTTATATGCTAATTAACTATAAAAGCTTCAAAATTAAAGACTATCCCTTGGTATTCTCTTCTTAGGCCAATCTTGGTAACTATGATTAGATGCCTAATCTCGAAAAAAGAAATTCTGTTTACCTCTGAGTAATTTATTCCTCCCTTTTAAGTCAATTTATTTCAAACAACTTTCAATCACTTATTATAAGGGATACAGCCAAAGAACTCTTAGAAAGGATGAGAAAATAATCCATGTTAATGATTTTCAGATTTCTACATCATCTGGTTTTATTTACTCCTCTTAAAAAATAGAGAAATGGTTAATGTTTAGAAGTTATAAAAGGAAAAAATTAAATAATGTGCTTCGGCAACTTCTGTATTTCCGTACCCCCTCCCCTCAAAAAAGAAAATAATAATAATAAGCGAATTACCTATTAGACTGATTTTCCTGCACAAACGGATAACAAGTAATCAAGTAGCTCGGAATTGGAGTTGGTTCTACACCAGAACCATTTCCATTATCATTAGGAAGTGCCATAGGGATCATAAATGCATCAGGATTCTTCTTCTGGGGGATAAATGGCTCTACCTCAGCTGACAACTTGACATTCTTTAAAGAGAAAGTGAAACATGTTATTAACAAATGAGCAAAAAAATTAAATAATATAAGCTCACAATTTAACAATAAGAGTCAGTTTTTACAAACAGTAATTGGATCTCTTCTCAGTATTTGCCAAACATCCTAACAGCAATGACAAGTTAAAATAATTAAATGATTAAGTTATTTAGACAAAGCCATTAAATAAAACAGGGAATAATTTGTCAAAGGTTACTACATTTCAATGAAATCGCTTCTTATGTAATTGAAACTGTTAAAACAATCAAGAGTACAAGGAAATCATACCTCAGAGTTCAAAAATAAAGCTGGTAGTAAGAAATCTAGCTCTTCGGACATAACAATGTGTTTTTAACTAATTTTGTTAGTGGGGGAAAAGCATTAAACAGAGTTCTGAAGGATAATTATATTTGTTTGAATAGTCTAAAAAACAGTCTATTTCTGTCCATTTCAGGAAATTAGATTAGTATGATTAAATTAAAAGGAAGGAAAAAGTCTGAGATGCATTAAAAATAAAAAACTTAATGTAAGGGGGAAAAAAACTTCTGGTTCACAACTAAACTGGGGAAAAATGAGTACTTCAGTTTCCTAGTAGACAAGCTGAGCAAACTAAAGTAATCCAAAATACGTACTCCATTTTAGTTTACTTTGTATCTTTTCTTATAATAAATCTACAGAGATTTTAAAAACTACAGTATTTAAGGATGCACATGTGGGTGACAAAACTATACAGAAAAGTAAGATCCTTAACAGTCAGGCTAGGGATTCCTCTTAGGAAAGAGGAAGTTGTGATGAGGGTACAGCTGGTGAGCTTCCAAGGTGCCTGGCAAAGTTCTGTACCTCAGCTTGGGTGATGCTCCCAAGGTATTCAGTCACCTTATAATAATTTATTTAGCTGTACATTGGTTTTATGCAGTTTTCTTTGTGCGTTTGTTATATTTAACAATAAATTTTTAAAATTTAATTATAAAAAGAAAAATCTATAGGTCATTCTGTAAAAGCAGAATGTCAAAAACCACATAAATATTACAATCTAAAAAGATATGAAACACTTCTTAATGTATTAAACACTTCTTAATGAAAACTTCTTAAGTGAAATGCAATCCCCTGTTTCAACCACTCAAACCAATGACCTCAAAGCAACAATCAATCCTAACCAGAACTTTTCCCCAACAAACATGCCAGGGAGGCATTCATGAGAAGCTTTCACCAAAGAATAGTTTTAAGCATAAATTTCAGGCATGTTTCTCACAAAAGTAATCAGTAACAAATCCAAGAAAATCTAAAGAGAAGATCTGATGTGCTCAGCAGTCTTACTCAGAAAAATTGTCTTCTAAAAAGATTCCACTGTAACTATTCAGAAATGCCTATAAAAAGGGAGGGAGGGAGAAGACACCTGAACTATATAGCAGTATTAATTCAATATCCTTCTTCCTTACCTGATTTAACTTTGAAGCCTACTTTTTACTTTTAACCAAATCTGAAGTAGACATAGTAATGACACTTAGAAATTGTGAACTGAACTTGATTTCTTAAATTTCGACACAGAAGGCAAAAACTCCTTCAAATGCTAATAGAATAAGTCAGTAATTTTCACTGTGATAGTCATTAGAACTCAAAACTTATTTACATAAGATATAAAATACCAACCTAATAAAAGTTTCCCCAATTAGGGGGGGAAAAACTGATTTTCAACAATGCACAGATAATAGAAACTTTATATAGTTCATACATATGCATATGAAAAAGGAAACCTTAAATCACATTTTACTACTAAAAATGTAATTTTCAAGATTTCTTTTTAAAATCAAAGTCCTTCTGAACACATAAGAACTCTCTGAACAGTTTTATAAATCTGGACTAGAAGACATTAGGATTTGTTTTAAAGCAAGGAATATGGTCACATCAAATTCTCGGCCTAATATAAAAAAGGAACAATAACAACATAATTCTAAAGAAATAAGAAAAATTTTAAATAACACTTTTCCTGACATTCCCCTCAAAAAATAACACCAACTCATAAGTTGCTTTGATAACAACAAATTCAAACTGTTGCTCAAGTCAAAAGTTGCAACAAGTTTTTTATATCTAGTTTCATCTGTACTTTTATTTAAAACTTTTATGAACTTAGGCAAGCCACTGTTCAAAAATTGTCATGCATAATTTATAACTAATGTCTGCACATATTCACAGTATATACCCTTAAATATTAAAGTTTGTATTTGTTTCTATTCTAAGTGCAATTCTAGGTATCTGACTTCAACAAAATTCACAAACACTGAAATGGATCCTTTGTGTTTAGCAAAAAAGAGAAGCTGCTGTAGCCAACAGCTGTACAAACAGAAGATGTCACTAGTAGGAACAGACTGGCAAACCTTCTCCTATAGTTACAACTCTGTATGGTTTTTAAAGTTGTTTATTGTGATTTGGAGCCTTCAGTATCATACATCAAAATGCAGCACTGAAACAACAAAATGTTGTTTTCAGGCCTGAAAAATAATGCTAAGATCCAGAACTTTCTTAAAATTTCACATAACAAAGCCCATATAGATAATATGTTAAGTAAGCAACAGATTCTGGCAATATTTCAATTATATTAGTATAGACATTTTTTAAAAAAATTTAGACATAGTGGACAAAACGTTATGAAAAAATTAGACTCGTTACTTCATACTGTAATATTCTTCAGTTTGAAATTCTGTGTTTAGTCTCTACATTTGCCAAGATCTGTTTTTTAGAAATCAGAAATTATATAGCAAGGAACTGTCTCCTGAAAGTAAAGAAAATATAAATACGGAATAAGTCTAAACTACAAAAAACAAATTCCTGTACTATTTGCTTAAAAAAGTTTCGCAGTAAAATTATCTTTATATTTCAGAAATTATTTCATAATTTTTCAAATTAGTAAAAAAATCACAATCTCAAAAACTTGTATTTGAAAAGTTACACATTCACCTTAAGTTTTGCATATATTAAGACAAATGTTAATAAAACTTCTTTAATGTGAATAATCTAGAGAACCCAAGAATTGATCCAAATATGAAACTATAAAAATATTGTTTAAAAGAGTTTATTGGAAAAAATGCATTCAGATAAATAAGAGCCTACATAATTCAATAAATATGCATGTTCTGGAAAGAACACTGTATAGACAGGTTTAGGGAAAATGGGATAACATTACTACGAAGCACCCATTAGCAGGAAATACACATTAAACTCCTCCAAGATAGAACCTCTAGAAGAGTGCAAATAATCTTCCCAGATTAAGCAACAGAAAAAAATGACACCCACATAAAATCCAAACTGAACTAGAACATAATAATGCACTCTCCCACAGTGATTTTCAATATGTACTCTGCCTACAGAAAAAATCTGACCATGGAAATCTTCCACATTCTTTCTTTGTTAAGGTAAAAATATGATATATCAAACACTAAGATATTTTGTATCTCATGGCCAAAGTTAAAAAAATGTCTTCTGAGTGAAAATGTTTTTAATGCTTAAGAGACAGATACCTGCCAGCTGTCTTGTTTTCTGTTTGCTTATACTGAAAACAAACCACTTGCCAAAACCAATTGCAATAGTTATAAGTTTTGCAAGACCAGAAAATAGTGAGGGGAAAAAAAAAAAATCAAAGTATCTAAGACTCTGCCCACTTGCTTTGCTATCCAGACATTTCCCCCTTTTCTTAAAACAAAAGCATCTAATCCTGTTAAAATCTGATAATATTTTCCAAAAACCAGTTTTCTAAATTTAATACTAGTTTTTGGATTACCTAATTTATTAATTTGTTTTCTGCATTTATTTATTCTCTTGCTTAATTTTTATTTTTCTTTAAAAATGTTTAACAATGAAAGCATTTATAACTATGCATTTGCCTCAGAGTATAGCTTCAGCCACATCCCGTACGTTTTCACATGTAGAATGTTATTACTTTTTCATTAACCTATAATTCTACTTTTTTACTTCCTATTTAAGGGCTTAGGGAATAATACCTTTTAATTTTTCCAATGGTATTTCCGCTAAATGAGATTTATTTACTTTCTTTTTTATTATAAAAGTATTATTTTTTAAATCTAGTAAGACAGATCACTAACTTACATTCATAAAGGCGAACTATAAGTATTGTATACATTTTATAGTAACTTATTTAAAATATGTCTAGCTTGCAATGCTGATATTATTTGAAATTCATAAATTATTTAAAGGAAAGAACCATAAGCCAGGTAATTTTGCATATTTATTGGTGAAAATCCCTTTGCACGAAGTCATATATATGTTACATGTTTGCTTTTCTAAGAATTAAAGACGCTAGTGGATCAATAACTTCGTAAATTCTTTTAAAAGAACCTATCTAATGTTAATGTACTAAAAATTAAGCCACTGGGGTGGCTGGTTAGCTCTCAGGTGATTAGGGCACATGCTCATAACACCAAGGTTACTGGTTTGATTCCCACATGGGCCAAGGAGCTGCGCCCTCCACAAACTATAGACTGAAGACAAACACTTGACTTGGAGCTGATGGGTCCTGGAAAAACACACTTTTCCCCAATAAAATTTCTTTAAAAAATAAAAATAAAAATTAAGCCACTGTTTAAATTATTTGATAATACAAAAGAGGCTCTAAACTTCAAGTGTTCTGCCACTTTTAAGGCCATTGTTTATTTTAAAAGTTCTCAAAACACATGTCTTAAATTTCCTAAAAATAGAAACACTACAGCCTTTATAAACAAAATGATTTATTCTCTACATCCCTTTACTTCAGCTTTTTATTTTTAAGGACAAAAAAAAATGCATTATACCAAGTGATATCTGTTCTTAGAACATCTAACTTTAGCAGTTAAAATTAAACCACTTGTTTTGATTTATTACAGTCTTGCCAAAAAAGAATACTCCTGAGGTTCTCTTCTGGTTATAACATTCTTTCAAATAGTCATTATTGCAATTAAGACTATTATCTAGCATGTATTCCCAATAACTTACTCTTTATAATCTTGATCAAATATACACAATTTATTCTTTTAGTCAAAGATTATATATATATATGTATATGTATGTGTGTGTAAGAGAGTGTGTGTGTGTGTTTTAAGTAATCCAAGAACAGCAACATGAATGCCTTCAGGCAAAACACTCTTAGATTTTTAAAGAAGTTACACTTGTGCAAAACTCCAGGAATTTCAATTAGGTTAAGATGGAATACAGAAAGTTTGTATAAGTACTATTTTTTAAAAAAATCAAACTTCTGTGACTTGCTAACCATTACAATATTATAATAAGTTATAACACTGTAGACATTCCCAGAAATTCTGAATATAAACCAATATTGGTTTAAAATGAAAAAACAAACGTTTGTAAGGAAAAATGAAAATTCAACACATCACATATATTTTTCACACCTTTTACCTATCTAAATTCACTTTATTAGTAAAAATATAAAAATATATTCCAAATAACTTGAAAAAGCCATTATATCACTCTATGTATGTCATAGTGGAGTCAATCGAAAGCTCCACAAAGTTGAGCATTAATCTAGCATTAAGTTAATGGTTCTTCGCTTTTTTCAATGATGGAGCCCTTTGAGAATATTATGAAAATAATGGAGTCCTGCTCTAGAAAAATGCTAATATAAAATGAAGCACACTCCTTCCAGGTCATCCAGAGACCCCTGAATTAACTGCCTACAGCATGAACTAGGCAAAGTAGCATCACTTTTTTGGATGTCAGTTTCCTGTGAGTAGGTATGTGTGGGTATCCTCTCACTTAAGATTAGGCTGGGAAAGAGGCAAAAGGCACTGCAGGAAAAAAATCATTCAAAGGAAAAACCTACATTCGTGATTTTTTCTAATTCTTAAATTTCTACAATACTTGAAATAAGTTGTGGACTTTGGAAAGATACGGGATGAAAAGAGAAAGAGGCTCTCCAGTTCAAATAATTTGCTCATAGAACTTACTGTTAAGATAATCACACACAAGTTACCATCCAAATAGTTAATTACATTTCCTCTAGGATGAAAGGAACCATAAGTAAACATATGGTAGCATTACTGGTTATAGCTCTGGCATCATGGTGAAGGACCAAAATGTTTAACCCTTTCATTAGTGATACACATACAAGAAAATCATTTTAAAAAAATGTCCTATTCATTTGTCAGGGTTTGAAATCTCAGGCATTTTTGATAGATACTTTAAAATTTTGTTTATGTTAAATTGGATATAGGCCTTATATAGAATGCTATGGGTCACAGGAAAGCCTGTAGATTATTTTCCAAGAGACTCCAATCAACTTTGCTTTGATAAATCCATGTATTGTTTCATAAAACTCATTTGTGTTTTCAGTCATTCACATAAAGCTATTTTAATTAAAGCTTTTGTAAAAACAAATATACACAACTAGGAAACTGTGCTTTGCCTGCTAATAGAGCCCAATTTCAAAATCAAAACTGGCTCTCACTGGCTACATATAATCATATACAAGAAATGGGGAAATCCTGTCTCATTTATTCAGGCGCTAACTATCCACTCGTAAAATAATTAGGCAAATCACTAATCTCTCTTTTTCCTTCATCTGTTGGTCGACTTTATCACTGGGCAAGGCCTTCAATTGAAGAGGGGAATGGACAGGGAATACACTTCAACTTCATCAAATTTGTTTCACATAAGTCTCAAGAATGGAAAATACTGAAACTTTTTTGGAGACAAGTACCCTTATTTCAGTTTGTTTTTTTACACTATGATGACAAAGTAAAATCCCTGCCTTCCAGCACCTACAAGTATGGATAACCATGAACTTGATACAATGAAAAACAAAGTAGAAGGCTAATGGGTCTACTTGTGACTATGAAAACGGGCTCGGAAATGAATTCATGCTTCTTAGGGGTTCTACACCCCTAAAATATAAGCTCGATTGAAAAAAAAACCATTTAATTTTTGCAAAATAATTAGGTAGAAGGGCATAGGGGAAACAGTGCTTCATATCTTAAAGGGAACACCTCCCTAAAGCCAAAACAACGCTTCGCTCAATGGAACGTGGATCTAAAAAGCCCATAAACCTCCCCCCCCCCAATCCTCCGTAGTTATCACACGTTCTCCGACAGTCATTCTGGATGAGAAGCCTTCAAAAGACTTTCCACCTTGAAAACACATTCCAGAACTGAAGGGAATGGCGAGGGTGGGGGGAAAGATTCGCTGGAAGTTATACACCCTCCTCTCGGTTGAGCACCGGCCATTTGGAGTCTTCTGGCCCCTTTCGCCAAGCCGGGAGGAGGGGCAAAATCGAGTCCCCAGCCGTGGGGGGTAACCAGGGCTGGGAAGAGTCCCTGTGCTCGAGGCAGCATCTGGAACAATGCAGGAGCGGGGCGCCGCGGGGCTCCCCGGCCGGGGAGGTCTGCTCCCGCAGGAGCCCCAGGGCTCTGGCCGTCGGGGCCCGCCCGGGGAGAAGCGGCGACCCCCAGCCCCGGACCCGGCTGGCCCGGCCGCGTACCTGCTCTGCTGGGGTTCGGTCCATGGCGCCTGCAGCCGCGACGGGCCCGCTTAGTCGGTGTGGAGAGCGCCTCGGGCCGCTTTCTCCATGGCCCCCCGCTCGGGTCTAGACCGGGCTCCGGACCTCCGCCCCTCGCTGGCTGGTCCCGACCCGGAGTCCGGCTACGCCACTGGCCGAGGAGGCGGCTACAGCTGCGGGAGATGGAGGAGGCGGTGGCACCCTTGGGGAGGGATCATCTGGGACGGAAGCCGAGCTGGGCCCAAAGCCGCCGGAGGCGTAGTCGGAAATGGCGGCGCGCGGAAGCGGGAGGAAGGAGAAGGCCCTGGAGAGGCAGGGGGCGGAGTGACTGCAGCGGGCGGTCGCGGGCACCTGGGCGGGCTCCCCTGCGGGCCAGGTGGGGGCTCCCAGCAGCAGCAGCAGCAGCAGCCCCGGCCGCTGTGCGCTTTGCGGGGGACCCAACCTGCGCTCTGGGCTGTTGAAACGGGAGGGGTATTTGGGGCCACTTGAGACCCAGGACACCCGGGTTCCGATCTTCAGGGACCTCAGAGACCACTTCATTCTCGCAAACTACCTCTTCGTGAAGTTAGGAGAGCGTTCAGCTGCCCGCTGGACCTATGATCCTTCTTTATGGTCCCCAGCAAAAGGGAGTCGGGACTGTAAAGGGAGATAAAGACTACAGGGCGGCCCCAGAGAAACCGAGTCAGGAGGCTGCGCACACTCACCGAGTAGGGCGCTCACTCCAGCCCGGGCCCGCGGCCCCTCTGCCCGTCTCAGAATCTCTCATTTCACCCAGAGTCCGTGTCACACCTCCCAACAGGTAATCATGGATGCACTGGATGGTCCTTTTTCCGCTGTACTTACTGATGGTTCCTTTTATCTCCAGTTCATTAGCTCCACGAGGAAAGCAATTCTATGACTATGAACTAGTGCTCGTTGAGATTCTTCTATGTACAGGACATGTATGCAAACATGAAGAATAGAATTATAAGAAATGATAAGAACAACATGTTCCAGTGCCCTTTTTTAACACAACCCTGGAAAAGATGGCAATTGCTTTGAGAATAAAAATAAAAATAAAAAAGTTAAACGCTATGAAGAGAAAGAAGACATTTTTTTCAAATACTATGTGCTACAGATGATTACATTTTAATGATTTTATTCAGCAACAAATATTTAATGTGCCGGGTGCTATGCTAAGTACTGGAGGTGTAAGGCACTTGTAAGAGCAGGGAACATGTTTTGTCTTGTGGGCAAGACATACTACAGAGCAAGTAATTATTGGTGAACTGAATGTCATGAAAAAGGAAGTTCTGTAGGTTTTACCACAGTGTGGGATGGAAGTAAAGAACACCCAAGCAAAGACCTGAAGAATGAGTAGGAGTTATGATAAGTGAAGAAGTCGTAGTAGGAAAGTTGTTCCAAGAAAATAGCGTGTGTGAGGATTCTGAGGGAAGAGAGAGAATCCAGCATTAGTACTTAAACAAGCACCTTTCTTGAAATGAGCCTTCAGAATGAGAGGGGTAATCCAATAGAGCAAGACCTCTGACAAGATGGAAGGGGATAGGATCCAGAGCCCAGGGGCAGAAGTTAGCCTCAGGTGGGAGTAGGGACAGCATGTCTAATGGCTTCTATTTTCTCAGAAAAGCAGGAGGCAAGGCTATCTGCTGACAAGGGAGAGAGGCAGAGTTGTGATGAGCATGCACTTGTCAACACTCAGCAAACATTTAAGACTTGTGTGTGTCATTATATGTAAATTTTACATCAAAGGGGAAAAACTGTAAATACTGAACTCTAGTTTTAACAAATGCATACCTATGTAACTCAAATCTCTATCAAGATATAGAATGTTACCATTACTCCCAGTGACTAAAAACTTAGCTGCTTATGTCAAATGTTTATCTTATTCACTGTTGTATCCTTACTACCTATACCAATGCCTGGCACACAGCAGGTGCTCAATAAATGAGCATGTGCTGAATAAATGAGTATGTGTTATGATATTAAATCAATTCTTTGATCCAGCGTTGGGTTTTGTTAGGCATGTACATGTCATTGAAGGAGCAGGATTCAGTAGGATGTGAGCACAAAATTCTCATATTTTTTACTCCACTGTCTTCAGATTTTCTAAGGGCGACTTCTTTTTCTGCCCTGGATGAAATCTCATGAAGGTCATGCAAATTTCATTCCAAGTTAAAAATTTTCCTTTTCCCAAGCTCAGTCCTACTTCAGGCTGGAAGCCAGCAATGGGGAAAGTGGTCTTTTGTTTTCTATCTTCTACATCTCCAGCTCCTCCACCTTAACTACTTGCTGATTAAACTTTTAGGTTCCTCCAGGTTTGGGTTTTGAAGGGGAGGGTGGTGGAGCTTCTCAGATGTCTCAGATGTATGACATACATGAAGTTACTTACAGGCAACCCTAGCCCTCAGCCCTTGGGCTTCTGACCCTATGCTTGAGCCCTTGGGTGGTCAGCTCAGCTGCCTTCTTAGCTGGACTCCCATTTAAAACGGCTTCAGACGGAATTCTCTCCCACCGTCCCTTGGAACATTTTGCTACATTTGATTTATCACATATCTATCCATCCATCCATCCATCCATCCCTCTATTAATTAGCCCATCAATTCATCTTATTTTGGGTGCATAACAATGTAAATTGCCAACATCAGTACACTTTTCCCTGGGAAAAATTTAAGTATCTACAGTTGGTGAATGCAACTTGTTTCCAGTGCCTGTTTCTCTCTAGTTGGCCTCTGGTTTTCTCAGGAAAGTATCAGATCCCAGGTCCTTGTATTCCCCCAGGCCCCAGGCGACATTATCAAGTTCTCCAAGTGTTTTTCTAAAAGCTCTCATGTAGCTTGAGGTAAAAGGAAGCATCTCTTTTTTTCCTATGGCAGGTGTGGGTAGGTATCAGGTATCTCCTCCAAAGCAATACTCTTCAAGAGTCACCCCACCCCCACCCTGTATGGGCTGGAGATGAGTGACGAACAACGCTGAGCCACGCTTTCTAACATATCATAGCTGTACACCTTATAGGCCATGTGTCCTTGAAAGGCACTTAAGCCTCTCTGAGCCTCAGTTTCTTCATCTACACATTGTATAGGGTTTTTGAGAGATTCAAGTTAAGGTAATGAATGCAAGAACATACTGCAAGCTCTAGAGGAGTTGTTTTCAATCTGGGACACTTTTAAAACTAAGATGCTTATACCGCTACTTAAACCGATTAAGTCAGAATCTCTGGAGCAAATTGTACAGCCAGCCAGAGTAGCCACAAAATCTTAGATTATGTCATTCCTCTCTTCAAGCCCCCCCCCATAAAACTTCCCATCTTAGAGTAAAAGCCAAAGTCCTTTGAGCAGTGATTGAAGCCCTTTGATCAGACCCCCACCTCGGGCCTCATTTCTACTCTTCACCCTTACTCAGCTAATTTGGGGGTTCTCCTAACATTGCAAACATATTCCCACCTGGGAGACTCTGTCCTTGCTGCAGCCACTGCATGGAACACTCTTCCCCCAGTTATCCCACATGGCTCAAGCCCTTGCTTCAGGCCTTTGCTGGAATGGGACCTCTGAATGAGGCCTTCTCTGACCACCCTCTTTAACATATCATGCATATTCACAATCCCTTTTTCCTTCCAGTTTTTTCTCCATGGTACTTCTCACCATCTAAAATGCTATATATTTTACTGGTCTGGTTTATCTTTTGACTATCATTTTCCACTAGAATGGAAGCTCCATGAGGGCAGGGCTTTTGTTTGTTTCATCCACTGCTGGGAAGTCCCAGTGCTTAGAACACTAGCACGTAACAAGCCCTCAGCAGATATTTATTGTTGTCATTCCAAATGGACGCTCTGAGCATGCACCTTCCTCAGCCCAAAAACTTCAATGATGAATCACCACCTACTCGAAATGTACTCTGGGCTTTCCTCCATCCCTGACTTTGCTCATGTGGTTCTTCCTACTTAGCATACACTTTCCATCTTAAAACTCATTTCCTTCATTTCCTGGATGAATGAATCTTCAAAATTCCCCTAGCTTGATGTGCCACATACTGCCTTAAATCGTTTGTGTGCTGTGTATAATTATTTATGTAATTATTTTCTTTGTCGGAGTATACTGTCCTTGACAACAGTGTTATTCAACAATGTTTGTTGAATGAACCAATGAGCTTGCCTTTGTAGCTGACTCAGACATTCACCAGAAGAAGAGACATAATTAAATGGTAGATTTAATTAGCAAACCCCAGCTCCAGGGAGAATACAGTTTGCATGTGAGTAAAACAAAAATAAAAGATGATAACATCTAACAATAATTTGTGGATGGTAAGATCAACCACAGGAGAGGTCAACAACTATAAATTGCCTTGTGAAAAATCTAGTTAAGGTAAGAGTGAGTTGAAAAGGAATGAGTTTATTGAATAAACGGACTCTGAGAGCAAGATAAAAAGTTAGACATGGCATTTATCTTTACAGCAGTGAGGTCTTCAGGCTAAGCCAGTTAAAAACAGGAAATAACTTCCCAGATTTCATATGATGTCCTTCAGATTATTTTTATGAATTTTTCCAAATCTCATTCTTTTTTGTAGGACACTATCTTATGACAGTAAAAAACAATAAATCTTTGATATTTCCCCTTCATTCGGAAATGTTATGTAATCTGAAATTGAAAAACCTCCTTCAACTCAATGTGTTTATGACCTGCCTTTAAAACCCCTTGGTAACAATCTATCTAGTTTTTTCAAGTCAGTGACTCATATCCTCAGTCGCTCAAACTTAGATTCTTTCTGGAATGTCCCTTCTGAACCAGCAGGAGCTCACTTCATCAGCGGGGTCTGATTTTTGGAGCTGGGAGTTTATGAAGCTCAACCTGTGAATGTATAACTCTTGTTTGCCTTGGTATGTTACCCAGTTTCCTTAAGGCTTCCAACCAACTTGACTGAGCAAGACATGTATCACTAGTCTCAGGAGGGAAAATAAGAAATGCTAGTTAAATAACTAAACTTGGCAGAGACAAAGCCTCTGAAAAAAATTCCCACTCCAAAGAATACCATCCAAAGAGGCATACTTAACAGATGAAAGAATTTTTCTTCCTTTCTTTTTTTTGAGTTTTAAATGATTTTGCACAAATAACATGAAAGCAATAAGAGCAGAATAAAAGGAAAACAAATCACCTGCCAACTCACCTTTTTAACATATGAAGATTTTTTTTCCTAGTCTTTGTTCATCTGTATGCAGACACCTATATGAGGATGGACAATTAAGTTCGCGAACTCATCCTAGAAAAAGTGCTA